CAGCTTTACACAGTCTCATTCAAATAGTTGGTGATAGTTGAACATGACACTGGTCAGGAAAATGTTTATATACTTTTCAAGATCAGGATACCCTCTAACACATGTTGTTATACAATTATAATATGCAAGAAAATATTACAACAAAACAACAACTAAAGAAAATATTACGAGCATTTAATGTAGTTTGTCACTTACCGTCATTTTGGCTATTATGGAATCAGGTCCAATGATCTCGTAACGCTTATCGACGTTCTCGGCTACATGCTTTTGTGTCCAGTGCGTCTTGCCAGCACCTGGCAGGCCAACGAGAAGGATAACCTCGCATTCTTTGCGCGATGCAGCGCATTGAGGACCGCTAACTAGTTTCTCGGTAGGCACCAAAGCCAACAGTACATAGCCCGGTAGCAGGGCAACAGTATCCCGGGGCACGGGCACAACATCCTCGTACTCCTCTTCGGCCGGATGTGACTTGTCAGCTGATGACTTATCTGTCTCTGAGTCGGCTTTGGCGCGTTTATTTGGCGATGGGCCATCTTCGTCGTCCTCCTGAGCGTTGGCTGCCGATTCGCTGTCCTTGGCAGACTCCTTAACCGACGCTTCTGGCTCGGCAGTATGTTCTGAATTTTCTGTGGCTTTTTCGGCTTCAGGTAGACTATCGCCGTTGGCCACAGCTGCTGGCTCAGTGGCCTCAACAGCTGGAGCTTCGGCTGCTTCCTCGACTGCAAATAAACAAAGGTCAAACAATTTGAAATTACTTCAAAAAAGTTTGTTGAACCCACCAGGTTCCATAGCCTGATCCTGCGCTGCCTCAGCGGATTCAGCCTGCTCCGACTGAGTTTCGCCCTCGACGCCAGCCTCTTTAGTCTGCTCCTCCTCAGCAGCGTCACTGGTAGCATCAGCGTTGGGGGGCTCAGGTTTATCAGCCACCTCGGATTGCTCGGTGGCGGCTGGCTTGGCGTCATCGTCCTTCTTTTCGGGCTCATCATCATCGGCGGTTGCCTCGTCGAGCACCTTCCACTTCTCAACATCGTTGTCATCATCTTTGTGCGACTCGGCGCGTTGCTTGCGACGCTTTCGTGTCGGCCGTTCGGCATTAACGAGCAGTTCTTCATTGTTAGCGAAGTTCACTGTATACTCGTAGCCCTTGGTGAGAATATGCGGAAAGAGGGCGCCTTCCTCGCCCAAAATACTCTTGTCAAACTCATGGGCAATACCAAGATCCTCGCCATTCAATGTGTATTTGATGTTGCACGGCGTGCTGTCCAGATCCAAGTAGCAGCCAATCACATCGTCCAGTTGATATGGCTTGCCGTAATCTTTGAACTCGCCATTGTTAGCCTTGCGGCCGCTCTCGCAATAGCCATAGGAATGTTCAGCTTCGCCTAGTAACATCGGTGTCTGAGGCGTTGAGAAACCCACACGAAAGCCGCGCACATGCGGTTCATCGCGGAAATGATGCGAGTTTTCCGGCACTGACTCCTCCGATAGCTGCACCTCAAAGCACACCTTGCCCTCGCGCACACCATAGTTGGCACGAGCACCTGACCAGATTAGCGAGTAGATCTCCGAGTTCAGAGGTTTCGCAGACGTAAAAGTGGTAGCATCGATGCGCAGATGCAGATCCGAATCAACTAATAGAAGAAAATGAAATTAAATTAGAGCGAATATGGAATGCGTACGCAAAATGTTTTCAAAAATGAAAAATGATAATGTAGGCATGACTTGTGCCAGGAACTCTTAACTATAGAAGTTCCTATTTAATTGTTTAGTATTTAAAGAGGACACTACTTACACCAGCTGAGGCCCACTTGATTTTCCTCCATAGTGGGCTCATCCTCGGCCACGGTGCGCTCTTCAGCTGCCGCACCAGACTTGGAATCGCGCTTGTCGCCGCTACGACGCTTGGGTGAGCGCGAGCTGCTGCGGGAGCGCGTGTGACTGTGCGAGCGTTTGCGGCGCTCGTTGGTTTTTTCTTGGTCCTGTTCCTTGTCCTCCTCCTTGTCTGTCTTGGCAGCGGCAGCCTCGTCGTCAACTTCCATTTTCTCACCATTATCACCGTTGGATTGGTGAGCGACTTTGTCGGTATCAGCATCGGCTGATGCTTCATCATTCTGTTGTGGATCTTCATCTTTCTCCACTTGTTTGCTGGTGTCGTTTGAGTCTTCCTGATCTGCTGTCTCCATGGCGGCGGCTTCATCTGCCATAGCCACATCTTCATCTTGCTCTGCTTGCGGAGCAGAAGCGTCAGTTTCCTCTGAAACCTCTTCCTGAACCGCTTTATTGTCCTCCTCTTCTTGTTCTTGTTCTTGTTCCTGTTCTTCTTCTTCGACTTCTTCTACTTCTGGTCCAGAGCCGGCCTCTGCTTCGACTTCGGGTTCGGCTGTGGCCTGATCCTCCTCCGGCAGAGTCTCCAGCACAGGCTCTGTGGCAACTGGAGCCGCCGCAACCGGCGACGGTGAGCGCGACATAGACCGCGTTCGACGCTGACGGCGGCTTGGTGTAAGTGGGGCGCCATCTGTCGGAGGTGAAACGAAATTATTAATTCATGGAAAATTCGTATTTTTGTTATATAAGGCGCATTTACAATATGAAGAGAACACGCTGAGCCGAGTTACAAGCACACACACATTGAAACACGTTCAAAATTGTGTAGTACACACAACACACACGCACACAAACGTGCACTAAGAGAAGCGCAGTGATGCATACATACACACGCACCCGCACACATACTAACTTACCTCCATCGCCGCCGCCGGCAGAACCTTCCACATGTGCCCGCAGGCGCTCGATGAGCACAGCTTTTACACCTTTGGTATCAAGACCACGCGTCTGTAATTCGTTACGCAGGTCCACCACCTTCATCTTATCCAGCTTCGCCAAATCCATTTTTTCGCTTCAATCTTGAATGGCGGCAGCAGCGCGTCACGCACAAAAATATACACACACACGCGCACAACGACTGAGGCGGAAAGAAAACGTAGAATAGAGGAAGTAAAATATATGCCAAATGGGCGCCTTTAGTTATTTAACAAATTACTTTACTGCTATTTCGCAAATATAGCGAATCGAATCACTTTTCGCATTTGCATTCGCATTTATTGCGAATAAATAATGGCTAAAACCTATACCGAGAACGCGTTGATGTGAAGTTGGCTGCGATTAAGAATGCAGGGAATGCCAAGTGTTATCGATTAGTAGCTAATTGATAGACTTCACATGTACAAGTAAATTTATCGATTGATATCATTACCTTCAATAGCAAAATGCGCTGTTTGAATTTGCAGAAGTTAAAACAAATAAGCAATTCGTACTTTTCATCTCCAAAGATGAAGTAAATATTAATAAATTTAAAATTTCTGTTTTTCATTTTGCCCATTGAATTTACATATAAAGACACTGGATTCAATTTTGATTAAGTGGATAATTTTTAATGGATGCCATATAGGTCTTTTGCCATAGACATATATATATATATATAATTGTTACCGCAATAACTTTAATTGATTGCATTAAGTCCATATGTACAAATATGATTTAAGAATAATTTGAAATTGTTGTTTGCTACAAAGATTATATATGTGAAACAATGAAAAGTGGCATCTCGTGATTTAAACTAGGTGGCAGCGCTCTTAAATACATTCAGTGGTGAAAACATAAGATGCGTTAAGGCAAGTTGAAATACTCAATTTGCAACCCTATATTTGAGGACTCCGTGGCGCAACGGTAGCGCGTCTGACTCCAGATCAGAAGGTTGCGTGTTCGATTCACGTCGGGGTCAATCGAGGTTTTTTTTTTTTTGTTCATTTACAAAATATTTTATAACATTACGACCCTTTATTTTCCAAATTAGCAAGGTTTTAATAAGTTAATAACTAAACTTTCTTTCATAAAGGTAAATTCGTCATTCCACTGCAATAGAACAATTTTCCTTACCACATAAAAGTTTTTTGTGGCATATTTGACTCGCACTCAGAAATATATCAATAGAAATTGCAATATTTAGGTATACAAAAAATTTAAAATTTATTTCATAAATAAACATAGGCGCGGGTAAAAGCTGAAATATAGTATATTATTTGATTGATATGACTTCTATTGCAGCCGCAGATCATTTCAATTTTTTATGATTAAAAAAAAATCGATATTGAAATCTTTCAGATGTTTGGTAGGCCCAGCCTTGGGCTTAGGATTTGCACACATTTGGATGACATATTTATGCCATTAAAAAATGTATTAAGGTTTGGTCAACAAGAGCAGCTAAGGGTATACACTAGTCGATCACTCCCAGCCACTTCTTATCTATAAACCTTATGGTGTAATGATAAGATATTGGTGTGTATTTAGTACACTAAAAAAACCTTATAAGCTATAAGAGTAGAGGCATTTAGAATGCCTTTCGTCTGGCTCGTGTTTACTTCTAGCAGGTTCTCACATGAGATTTACTCAATGTTCGCGTTTCAAAGCTGGGTGTAATTTTTTTCAATTAGCAGATTCGAATTGAGTTTGACAGAATGTCAGCTATAATTTCATCATTCTGTAATGAGATACAATTGTTTGTCAATCACAATATCAATGAAAGTTTTTGTTAAATAGCTCAAGAGCCGCAATATAATATAGTAAATGATTGAAAATTAATTTCGAGTATATGTATTTGGTTCTACGGCAGAAAAGTCTAGAAAAAGTTTCCATATAGGGCTCGAATAGGTCGCTCTATTGTATAAGTATAGCATATATATATGTATATATATATATATATATATTATGTATTCGCCAACTTGATCGATACGATCACCTGGCGCAACCGTAAAAGGCCAGTAAAAATATTTAACTCGAACGCCCACCCGAATGCAAACTTTCAAATGCTTTCAGTTTTTTTTTTCCACAATTATTTGTTATTGGGTGTAAAAATAAATATTCGTACAGTTTTTTTTTCGCAGTTTTTTTTTTTATTAAATGTAAAAATAAATATTCATAAAAATACAACTCAAACACAAGGCTAGGGTTAATTTCAATGCAAAACTCAAGAGAACATGAAATATATTGCAATTAGTTTGGGTTTGCTCAAGAACAGATCAAGATCAAGTTGAAGATCCGTAGAACCTCGAGCTGTTAGTACACACACGCACACGCACACAATTACTTTCACTGGCACTTTCTCTCAGTGCTGGACCAGCTTGAAGCGACTTGCCTCGGCATAGTCCCGGGCATCGGAGAAGTTGCGTTCCGGCTTGATGCGCACATCGTTTGGATCGGTGACAAATTCACCATTCCACACGGGCGACAATATGGTGGGATCCGTGTTGTAGTCAAAGTAATCCTGATCATCGGAACGATTGCGTTCGGGCTTGATGCGCGTCTCGCCGCCCTTGACGAAGGTGCCATCCCAGGCGGTGGGCAGGACAATTGGCTCCGTATTGAAGCCGTAGAAATTGTTGGTATTGGTCACATTTTGATTCTGGCGACGGATTTTCGACACGTTGTTCACAGCGCCATCGGGATACACAAACTTGCCATTCCAGCCCTCACACTTGATGGGTATATAGTCCTCCTTCTTGCGCAGCGACATATTCCTTAGTCCAATTTCAGTTCCAGCTTCCGCTTCGATTTGCTGCGATTGCGATGCTCGTTCGGCGAGTTTCAAAATTCGATTGACTTGTCGCAACGGCTGTGATATTCTAAAATATGATTTCACTGTAAACCTTGGCGTGTAAATGATTGTTTTTGCTTGCTCCGGCGACCCACACGTAATTTAAATCGATGACGTCAGGTTAACTCAGCCGTTTGTTTTCTTTCGCCAGACGAAACGGGTTCGCAGTTTCAGCTCCTCCTCCACGGGCTGGCATCTTGTTGTTATTGTTGTTTAGCATTGCCAATGACAACCGTACTAGACGAGTTCGCGTCGCTGGCGCTTTGCCATATAAGATCACAAATTAAACACCAGGTCTAACAGCTACCAGGTGAAGCGGTTCCGCAAGCTGTCTTCAAGCCAAGCTGTCATTGTAAATATGCCCATTATAATCGACGGCTTGATCTTGATTGCCAGCATTTCTGTGATTCATAGGTCTTTGATTTGCAGCGTAATGCGAACAAAACAAGCAAGACTGATTTAGGCGGGAGTGCACGACTACAACAATACCCTGCTGTTACAACAATTCTTGCTGCCTCCAAAGTGAGAACTTAAAGCGTTGACTCTGCTTCTTCCACCCTCAACCCAGAAAGTGAAAAATTATGACGCTGAGTATACCCTACACGGAAGTCTCAAGCTATTATAATCGTCGAGATATGTTCGGAAAACAAGATTACGAGATGGATTTTTATCGATTAGTACAAAATGGGGTAAGTAATTGAGCATTTTATGTAAGCTTAATCTTTATAGAACCTACGTTTAAATTTTTAGGTGTCTAGCTCTTACAGTGCCCGAGATCGAGCCGGTTTTATATACGTACGAATGGACTGATAGACGGACCTAGATCGACTCTACTTTTCGTATAAATCAAGAACGTATGTCTTTACGGGGTTCCCACGCCATGTTACATACCTTGGCATTATACCCTATTTGCCCATGTACAGGGTATAATTAAGACGTAAATTTGTTTTTCCCTTTTTTAGTCATAAGTTAGATTTATATGCGGGCTTGTTGTTTGCCTGATCAATTTTAAAAATACCTTACGTAAGTTAATTAACAAAAAAAGTAAGAACCGCTATCTTAGGTGCTATACACTGCACAGTGGTCCATAAATCAATAAAAAAGGTTTCCACTGTTGGGATCATAAGTCCACGCTTTAACCCATGATGCCTTTTGAGTTATATTATTGTGTTTAAGCTATACTATTGTATATTTTTTCCATTCCTCCTTCCATGATAAAGTTACCGACAACAGCCAGATTAATCAGGGTAACTCCTAGTCGTGCACTCCCGACTCCCGAAAATAATTAACTGCAACAAAGTGTGTCAAAAATACACAGGACACGCAACGCATTTTAAAGACTTAATGGGCCACCTGTGGCATGCCACACGCACAAACCCAACGCCAACGTCACAGACGGCACACACTAATTAAGCCAACAGAAACCGCAAGGGCCAGCCGAAAAGCTTTGCGCGACCGCTCGCTCGCCCACACAGACAGAGAGTGCCTCGATGTCAGGGGCTATGCGTGGCAGGCTTACGTGCCGCAGCGACGACTACGTTCGTCCCTCGTGTTCGGTTTGCTCTCGCGCTGTTAACTCGACGACCCCAAGCAGCAGCAGCAGCAGCAGCGGAGGCGGCGGCGGAGGCGGCGACAGCGGCTGTTCCCATCCGCTGCTCGTTAGAAGAAGCGACGTCGACAGCGTTGGTCGGCAACAGTTTGAAAGTTTTTCATGTTGTCGTCGGCTTGCCTCCCAAAGTTGCCTGTTGTGCCTGTTGCCAGTTGCCGGTTGCCAGTTTCGACGGCTCTGCATTTGCTGTGCGCCTAGTTGAAAATCCAACTAATTGCTTATTTTAACCCCTTCAAAACTGGGCACACACACACACACACACAAATACAGACACACAATGGGCCTTGCCTGGCCCGGCTTTCGTGTTTATTAATTAACAACACAAAACCCCAAACCAACAAAGGCACACACACACACACTAACAGACACGGGCACACACATACACACACACACGCATACAGATATACGCACACACACAGCTTAACCCAAGTGTTGTCTCCGGCATTCATTAGTGTTCATTAGTGAAACAAAATGCTCATTTACTTAACTACTCCCGGCTCGTAACGAGACAGGCCCCCTCCCCCTCCCCCTCCCCAACCCTCTCTCCCTTTCTCCAATAAACTCACCACTCTCTATCCCTCTCTCTCTATCTCTCTCTGTCGCTTGTTCGCTCGCGCCCCCCGATTGCTGCACTCACTTATCGGCACTCGACGAGTCACTCCGCTACTGCTCTTGGCTCTTTTCACTGGCTGTTGGTAGTTGTTGCTGCCGCTCTTATGTTGCCAATTAAAATTCCATTTATGCCAAGTTAACTCACTTGGCTCGTTAATTGTTGTGGTTTTTTAATTGGACCCTTTTCGGAGCTGATGCTCAAATTGAATTGAATTGAACAACAAAAGGAACAATCGCATGAATGGCAGAGACCAGGCACGGACCATGTCTGCCTCTGGTAGCCGGGCGGCTCTATGAGCTACCTGAGCTACCGAGCCCAGCACAGGCAGCACTGGCACCGGCTTTAGCTACGGCGCACAGTCATTGAAGACCGCCAGCCCCACCTCCCACATTTTGCAATGTGCCATTGGGTACGCTTATCGTTTGGCTCCTCAGGGTTGCCAGGCGATACCAAAAAGCTGTTGAGTGTAATTACTTCTTTCAATTAGTGCATCATATTTTATTCATGTTGAAGGCAGTAAATATTTTTCTTTAGTTTTCTTTATCTATAATGCAATGCATATATATCTTACAATCTTTTGAATTATTTTTACACTGATTTTCCGACCATGTAGGTGGTTTTAGCCAAGGATTACTGCATTTTTATTCTCTCTTTCGGAGCTATTAATATCAACTTGATTTAAATTACGATATCTTACTTCAAAACCGATTTAGCATTTTGTTCTTGGTATTTTTCGCAACTTGGCAACTCTGCGCCTCAATTCAACTAATGAACGAAGCTAAAGCAGCGCAGCACCAGCACCATTAAAAAAAAGTACTAAAAACAAAAGCCAACAAAAACCCCTAATTAAAATGCATTTTCATTCGGGACGTCAGCGTTGTAACCACTGCGCCTTCCAGCTGCCACCCGCTCGCTCGCGACTGGGACGTGCTTTAAAGGGGGATTGCCTGTTCATTAGCTAGAAATGCGTCCCCCTCAGTGGCTGCCACTGCGCCTTACAGTCACATGAACCGTTATGCCATTGTACACACACACACATACACATAGAGAAAGAGAGAGAGAGAGAGAGGGAGGCCGTACACATGAGTGCGTGTGTATGTGTGTGTGAATGGCTGCGGGCATATTTAATTACAAAAGCTGCTAATTAGGAAACGTACACACCCACGTTGGTTAATTTGTTTGCAAACCAATTAACTCGGCGCACAGTATCAGGCGCACAGAAAACCACAGCCAGCAGACAGGCAACAGCAGAAGCAGCAGCAGCAGCAGCGGCAGCAGCAGCGGCTGCTGCTGCGAAAGCAAAAGAAACGCGTCACCGGCGGACGTCGCTACTGAAAATGCAGACAGAACTTTCCAATCAGCGTCGAGCGCTTGGCCAGGGCGCAGGGCAACTCCGGAGGCAGCGGCAGAAAAGTTAACTAGTGAGCCAACGACTAAAACTGTTAACGAACAACAACAAGAGCCACAATGATAACGCAGTGTGGCGGGGGGTTGTGAAAATGGGGGAGGCAGAAAAGTGCGCAACGGCCAACTTAATGAACGAAATAAAAACGAAATTTTAAGGAATAAGTTGTGTGTGTGTGTGCGTGTGTGTGTGTGTGAATATGTTCGTTCGTTTGCTGGGCGCGTGCCTGGGCTTGTTCTTAATAAATGAGCTAAAGATGGCAAAAGTCGTCAACGTCGCTGCGCTGCGCTGTCTTGCGTCTTGCGTGCTAATGAGTAATAAATAAACTTTTGCTGCTGTTCTGCTACGGCCTAGACAAGCAGCAGACGCGAATATCAGGCAAGCAGAGCAGCAGGGTGACGACCACAAGCGAATGGAGAGTGGCAGAGAGAGTCAGAGAGAGAGAGGGAGAGTGATGGCGCCAGAGAATGAGATAGAGTGGGGGACAGTCAGATAGAGAGAAGGCAATGGCGAGCGGGGGAGTAAACAGATTCGGTTCCGGTTTTGCTTTTGCGTTAATTAGTTTTAAGCATTTTCATTATGCAACAGCATGTGGCAGGCAACAGCTGTACGTATTTTGGACAATGAGCATGTGTGTGTGTGCTTACACACATATATAATTTTATATACATATGTACGTATATGTATATACATGTATGCACATTGTGTTCTTCTACCTGCGTGCATGGCTGTGTTTGTGTGTCAGTGTGACCAAAAGGCGCACTAATGAGTTTGCAGCACATGTTTTTTTTAAATACGTGAAACGAATAGTTTTTGATTTTGTTGGATTTGGTCATTAATTGTGAAATATAAAAAATATGAAAGGAAGAGTTTTGCAATTTATATACTTGCATACTTAAATATATAAATATATATGTATGTATATTATTCTCTTGCGTACCGATTCTCTTTTGCCAAGTATAGCGACGCTGGTTATGCTGATATGGCGAAAACTGATTACACTGCAACGCACCGTCCACATTAAACACACCCATGCGGTCACACAATTATAAACATACTCACACAAGCGCAGAAACTCACATGCACACACTGGCTCACAAACAGTGTTGCGCAGTGTGCAGCAGCAACCTCTGCCCATTTGCTGGGTGCCCAAATCAGTTACAACAAAAACATCAACATGTCTTATCAAAGCAAACAAGAATGATTTGTGCGCGGTTGCCGGACCAAGAAATACCCTGCACCCAAGTTGGAAATGCCGGAACATACAATTATACACGTTTCTGTTTATCAGTATTTATCGGAAAGTATTTGTTAGCCAAACATCAGCTCTATTTTTTTTATTTTTACAGGGTATAGGCGGAATGTATTTGTTATCATAAACTAAATGAGATTCTGTTGTGTGCCCAGTTCTTGTAGTTTCTGTGTTAGCTTATACGGGCAGACTGACTAGCGTCGGAAATGCCAGCTGCTGTGCTGTTGTGTGTACAGGGTATAAACAGAATTAACTGTTAACAACAATAACAAACAATGTAATGCATACGGGGCCGGGGACCAATTGGGCACGTGTGTTTGTTTTATTTTCGGGTTATCGTGGCCCGCATTTGTTTATAGACTCACAAACAGAACTCTTTTTCAGCTTGTCGCCGGCTGCTGGGCGCCTGTTGCGCAGCCAAATAATCGATCGCAAATTATTTATTGATTTTTGATTGATGAGCCACAGAGTATTATGTAATATGTATGGCAAAAAAAAACACGGTTGATTTATACCGCGCCCTGTGTGGTTGCTTGGATTTTCTACAGACTAGCAAAGCTCTCAACATAAGCGGCGTGTTGGGGCGGATTAGTTAGCTTTGCCCATGCGGCTAGCAGCAATGCGAAGAGGCCGAGATCGAGTAGAGAGCGCACCTCAGGTTGAATTTGAATATTGTCAGGTTGGAAGGGCCCCCCAACAGCTGTGACAACAGCAACAACCGCAATGAACCCAACCGAAATTGATAGCGTCAGCTGTGTTTTCCAGTTTATCGCTGCGTATGTTAATTATATTACACAATTATAAATAATTTTGTCAGTTTATTTATTCAGTATGCTTGATCTATAACAAAACGTTAAATAAAAAAAAAAAACTTGCTAAACGAAAAACACTTAACAGCTATTTTGTGTATGGAAGCGCCTACTACCAGAGAGGTCTAGGGGGGATTATGTTTTATGTATATTTTTTTTTTGTCATTACCTTTCTTTAGTCCATTATTTTGTTTTAGCACAACTTAACTGCTACTTAAATAATTGTTTCGCGTAGATATATAAAAAGTCCCAACTCCAAAAAAATATGCAATATAAGTACTAGCAGGCTCGCGGCCAGCCGGAAAGTATGCCACAGGTATGCCAGGTGCTACTTGCGACTGCCCTTGCGGCGCAAATGATGTCGGGTGGTAGCCGCTGCCAGGGCTACCGCCGCCTGCGCTGCCGCCGTCAGACGTCCTTCGGCGCAGCGCGTGGGCCAATTCTAGGATTCGTAGAGCAATCGCTGGTAATGCGGCAGCACCTCATGCATTGGCACATGCAGACTGAACTCGAGCGCGACGAGCACAGCGAATTCCGAGGAAATGAGCTCCTTCCGATTCAGGCGAAACACATTCTCTGTCTTTTCAATCAAGCTCTTCAGGGCATCCCCCTTGACGTCGTTCATTTTGGCACTAAGCAGCAGGCAGGCGCCGGCGCAAAGCTTGCGATTGCTTTTGTTTATCAAATTGGCCAAAATTAGCTTCTCGAAGTAAACATATGCCTGTGATATGGTCACCAAATCGATGCGTGAATCCAGCTTGTTAATGCGACGCATTTCCCTCTTGATGCTGTGAATGAAATAAAAGTTAATCGACTTTAATAGAAGTTAATAACATGGAATTGTTCGTATTCATTTTGGTAGAGTCAGGGTAGATAGAGATAATACCCAGAATAAGTGAGCCATTAAAGAATTGGGTTTTGTTTTTCCAATCTTTAAAAAGAAATATAATATATAAATAAAATTTAATCAACCTCAGTCAAGAATCTATCAAAAATTGAGTGTGTACGGAAATGTTTTCTGTGATTTAAGATAAGATCAAGATCAAGCTCAGCAATTACGAGCTATTATCCCTTTCATCATCTGTGTCTTACAGGAGTAAGCATTTGGTAGTAAGGCTTTAGTATAAAACAATATTTAATAAAGAATTCATAGAGAATTTAAACAAAATTTATAATGAATTCTATTTGAATTTACACGCGTTCGCATTGATCGGTTATTCAGATTTAATTTTTCTGACAAATATTGTTCAATTGGTAATATCATTAACAATTATCATCAGTCTATCCCTTGAATACCAAAATAGTTTGAACCACAAGTTGGGGGGCAAGCTACCTTCTCAGTTTGCTTAAGGTAAGCTGTATGCTTGGAAACTTCTCCCGGAACTTGTCGTTGAGCTCCTTCTTCAGATCCGATGGACGCACATAGTCAATTACGGAGGTCATGTACGAGGTAAAGGTGAGCAAGGTGCGATGCTTGCCCGCAATGAGCTCGGGATCATCTAAAATGCTAGCCGAATACTGTTGATACTGAAAGCAGAAAATGATATGTGGGTTAGGGCTAGCCATATTTAGTTATTTAGTTTATAATCTCACCGGCAGACCACGCGTCGAGTCCCCGCTCAGTATTATGCTCTCCATGTCCATGTCCAGCTTCAGGTCGGGTGTAGGACTCGCTGCATTGTTGCGATTATTGTTCTCGTATGTGAAGCACCTGTAAATGCATCAAGCATGGATTAAGGAACTATATATATATATATATATAGGGATTATAGATCTAAGAAAAGGCGTGAGTGTAAGCAGGTTAGTTGAAGCGTTGCCAGTTTTCTAATGTGTGCAAATGTGAAGTGTGAATTTTGTTAGTGGTATTTAGGATACTTTAAAGCTTTGCAGCATATCTGAGCTATGGGCGAGCCAGTCATAGAATTGGGTTCTGTCCCATAGCTGAGATCGGCGCGATCGATTGTTACTTATTAGCTGCTTTAAAAATTTACCATTTGCCTTGATGTTTGGTTATGGTTTTTGTGCTGAAACGAAGTAGTGCAAAGCGTTATGATTAGCAAAAGTTAATGGTACAAAATGCATCGAAACTTTGTGTATAATTAAGTATTTCAATAATAAACTTTTTTGATTGGATGGAACTGGGTTCTAGGCTCTGTCTGCTCAATTATGTAAATTGTAAATGCCCATGTCTCAGAATAACCCCCGATATATGTGTGGTATTTTGTTCAGTCAGCGAATACAAATAATGTCGAGAGTTGTCAACAAAACAAAATTAATTTTTGATATCTGAGCTTTGCAAAATTATTTCGCTTAGCGCTGCGTATAAGGCAAACACTGGTAAGCTGTTTATTTGGCCGCCTTTAGCAGGGCATTTCAATGACCTATGTAAACAATTTGGAATAATCATTAATCATTTACGGCCATCTGCTGTTCTTCGTTGTGCCTTTTATTAGGAGGAATCATATTGTTCAATATCAAACTAAAAGTAAGATCTTTTAGTAAACAGGGAATGGCTAGAGGCTATAAAATAGGGATGGGCCTAGACAGGCTTATTCCGGGTAAAGTAAAAGCAAAGCATTCTCCTTCGACTGAAATAATTCGCTTGTTCTTAACACAGAGGCCGAGATTCCCATTCTTAAATGTTGTAAATAGGCGCATAATTTATAGCTTCTCTTTATAATGGGACCGTTTGGAATAAAGAAACCTGACGTCTTGCCCTGATTTCTGTCCTCACTGGAAACAAGAAGAGCAGATAGCCTCTGTGTGTCTGCACTTGTGAGAAAGCGGATCTTGTTTTTAGTAAACCCGTTCTGGATATTTTTGTCGAGAGGTTAAACTCGCAGCCCCCGATCGAACATGTCTGAATTCTAAATCTCAAAAGAAACACTTTTCAATAAATATCAGATTTAAATAAACAGAAGCCGCAATTCGAAACACATTAATGGATTACAGGGTATCACGGAATGTCAAGGACAAATTCGTAATTATATTCCAGGATAATTGGATTGCATTTCAGTGAACCGATTAATGGCTGAGGCATGAGGTCCTTAATTTGTACAATTTATGTATGTATGTATATATGTGTGTGTGTGTGTGTGTGTATGTGGTAATGGGATATTATTAATTTTGTATGTAAATAATGATATATTAAAGGTTGACTTTAAATGGGCACCAACCTGGCTATGCCATGATTTCTAAGGGCCGCTGTGCTCGTTATCTCCATTTGATTATCGAAAATTGAGGGATTAGTCGATGCATTGCCGTGCTTCTTGCGCTCCTTCTCGTACTGCCGGGATGGTATAAGCAAATGTCCATACGAAATGTCCTGCAAACGAGTTGTAAATAAAATAGGATAAGTTCAGCTCAACAGGTAATTGGTTAAGGAACTAACCTGACCGCTTTCAGCTTTCTGTATGCCAAGTAAATCGAAGGGATCAAAGGGTGCATCGTTGATAGAGCTCAAGGGGCGTGAAGTGGATGTATTGCGACGCCGACGATCCTCCTTGCGGAACTCAGCTCTAGATGGACAGTCGCGTGTTAATCTTGTTCATGGATTGTGCAACATTCACTTACCGTCCGTTCTTGCCTTTGTGGTACGGAAACGCCGAGAAAATAACAAATGGCACGTTCCGTGATAGCAACACCATGCGCTCACCACGTTGTCCCAGGCCCGGACCCGGGTCCTTACGGCCGTCGGTAATTTGCACGGATTTGCTGAGACTGTTGCGGAAACTGCCCGCAAAGTTGCCAACCGGTGCCAAGCTCTCCGTGCTGCTGTCATCCGTTATGTGACTGGCACTCGATCCGCTGCGTATATTGTAGTTGCGCCTCAGGCCGCCAGTTCCAATGAAGCTCGCATTGCTGGCCGCCGCTGCCGCCGCTCCACGCATGCCAGGCGCCGTATTTAGACGCGCTCGTCTCTCCGGCTGCAAGCTCTGCTCGCTGGCACCATTGCTAAAGGTTCTGCAAAGTTAGATGAATCAAAAGAATAAAGTAAGACACTACAAAATTTAACAAGGAATTTTGAATTTATCATGGGGAACTGTGGAGATAATAATACATATCCTGCGTTAATCAAGACTAATCTATAAAAAATTGTTATAATTTAATGGCGAGAAAATACGAATATCTTTGGCATGCCGAAGATTCAATACCCTTTTTTATGTGCGAACAGTGAAGCTCGTAAATGATTGATGAGAATATTTTCGAAATCATAGCAGTTCGAAGTTGATAGGATTTTGTATATATCTAAGAAACAAATATCTGAAAAAAACTTAAAAAATCAAGGTGATAGATCTGAAGCTGAGATACTTAAATAGTTTATGTTGTCGGGGATGCCTACTTCTATGGGTTACACTTTTCATAACAAAATTATAATACCCAATGATTGTATATTGTATTGTATTGTATAATTGCAAATCTGTACTAATTCTTTTCATTACTAAAATAATAATCATTATTCTTTCTAAGTTCTGAGACACTTTCAGCAATAACCGAGATTTATTTCAGGAGTACCCCGAACCACTTTTTGTACCTTTGTTGGGCAACATTTAGGGTATTCGCGCAGTGTCTTAAACGGAAGTAATCTAACGATTGGCGATTGCGTAAACTTATACTACGTAAATTCGCCGTTCGTCTAAACAGCTGTCATTCAACTGGAAACTTCGTATGTAAACATGTCGAGGAAAGGGGAAAACAAATATTTAACTGATGCAATTCGAGAATAAACGTTTGATCGACAAGGCAATTAAACAAATTACTCAAATCTCCAATTGCTTTGGAAAATATTTACAAATTATATACAGAGTTGCATTAACACGGCATTTCTGACGGTGACAGCGCCGAGTACACGATCTAAAACTTAAAATAAGAGCAGGTTCATATATTTTCAGGTTTTACAAAAGGCGATCGAGCGTATGTTCAGCAACAAAGGAACGCGAGTACGATCAAATGCATCTCTCTATCTTTCTCTCTCCCTCTTTGAATGCTCTCTCACATTTGCTTCAAATCTCAACAAGAGCACACACATACGCACGCACACACCCCAAATGAGGCGATCGATATTTTCACAGGCTCGCAGCAAACAAAATGCAGTCAAAAATATGTAGCTAAGTATTTCTGCCGCAGGGCCATCGAAGATCGAGAGACGCACTTATCAGGAGGCTTAGCGAGCTCTTTTGTCTATTGTTTGTCGAGTGTTTCCATCGAAAAATGAAAAAGATACACAAAAACGACTGCAGCTGCTGAAGGGCAACGTCTTGTTGTTGATTTCTGTGCGCCTGGCCTATTACCTTGAGATAATTGGTATAGATCGAGGTTACACGAGCTCCAAAAAACATTCCAATCACGTGCGTGTTTTTGGGGCCAACGAATTTCCACGAAAATTCCGTTTGCATTGATTAGGCAACTCTCTTGGCGTTGGCGCAGGTAGAGGGGGTACGGCTAGAATTATAATGCGTATGATGAAGTGGCGCCAAGCCTGTCATAACCCGTTAATTAGTTGGAGTATTCGAATAGGCGCTCAGCGACGGCAGCAAGCAGCCAACAGCCAAATGTGCAGAGCCGAAGAGACCAAAGGGAAGACCCAACACCAAATTCCATACACACACACACGCACACACACATTCGTTCATTGTGTTATTTACATGTTAACATGGAATGTAAACGCGTGGCCCACTGAAGAAAAAGAAGACCCTCAAAGGCCACGCACTATAGAAAATATGCGTTGCTTATGTAACTTATAGGCTCTCTCTTTCTCTCTCTCTCTCTCTCTCTAACACTTGAGCCAGTGCGTGAGAGTGTTTCCGTTAGATTATAACAAAGCAAAACTGTGCGTTGATAAGAGGGCGAGAGCGAAACGTTTAGAAGCGTGCAAGAGAGAGAGAGAGGGATAGTGGAACCCTAGAAGAGAGACGAATGCAGCAGCTATAAACACACATACACACACTTAAGTGCAGGTGGCAGACCTTGTGTGTGTGCAGCGTTTTTTTAATAGTATTTTTTTTTTTTTTAACTGTTTGGGCAACCGTTTTGTAGGCTGCCTAGCGACATCTGCGCGCCTGGGCCGCACACAAACAATATTTAAATTTCAAACACACATTTCGAAAATATTTCCCACTCCCAGCAAACAGGCTAATCAGAATGTAAATGCAAACAAATTGGTTTCTAATTGGATCGGAATAATTAAATTAATGGCAGCTTTCTGACTGAATAAATAAATAATTTGATCTGTGCTCAACAATTAATCAATAATACAATTTACAAAGGCGTATTACATTCGCAAATTTGTTTAAAATTGGGTTTATCAAGAGATTTGCTTAACAAAGTATTAAAGGATATTTTGTCCGGAACAATCTTGAACAATATTATAAAGAAAAATTAATTTTTTTATTTAAAAAAAAAAAAAAGATTTTTTTTACATTTTTTTCGATTTTTTTTATCAAACTGTTTCATAAACATTTGCTTGTTTTATAAAATAGTTGATGTACTCATCAAAAAAGGGGGAAATGTATTCTGTGTTTTAATTACACGCTGCTCTCTGCTGATAATCAATATTTCAATAAACAGGGCAATCAAATCAACTTAATACAATTCACTTTGTCTTATCATCGATGTGCCTGATAATAATTATTTTCTTTGTTTTCTTTTTATCAGCGTGTGTGTGATTTCTTGACAAACAGATGTTTCTTTCTGTTTGTGTGTGTGTGTGTGTGTACATACACATAGAAAAATTAATTGCTAAACTTGTGGCTTTTGTCTCACGTGCTTCGACATTATTTGATTAAAAGTTGTGCGAACAAAACACATAAAACAAATTGAACTTAACAAAGAGAATTTAATACAATTCTTTGTTTTCGATTTAGTTTAAGGGCGAATGTAAATATACATTTTATGCCTTCGTAAATGTTTACCCGCTTATATATATATATATATATATATATTATAGCACAAATAATACAAATAATATACACATATTTCTAAACGAAAGCTTGTGCATATCGATGCAAGCGTCTTACGAAGTACTTAAATTGATAAGTTAATCAGGCACGAGTTATAAATACAGCCTGTTTACGCATTTTATGACGAAAATAGCAGCATTTGAAGGTTGTCAACGTAATCAGCACGGGACTTAAGAATAGAACTCCAGGGATAATGAGTACTATGTTTATCAAGTGGATTACCAGTGAGAGAGAGAGATCAGGCGAATTAAATGCCAGACAACCATAAAGTCGTTTAAATGTGCCGCAGATAAAGATAAGCGATGTGGCAGGTCCATAAAACGAGACAAGTCCATATCTGGGCACATACTCTATATACATATGTACACACATTTAGGGCTATTTGCTCGTTTTATTGTCGTTGTTCATTTTCGCAATCAGCCAGCTGATTTGGGGTCTGTTGCTTTGCGTAGGCGCTGCCAAAACAATGGCCAATAGATAAGCAAAAAAAAAAAAAACAGATAGAATTTTACAGTGTAGTGAAACCGATTATGTGAGACTCATTCCCAGTACAGCTACTTTTGAGTAATCATCACTCTAAGTTCGAGTACTTTAGAGTACTTATGAATATTGACTAGTATACAGGTATATGCGTACTAGGGACATTGAGTGAGACACTGGAGTTGCCAAAGTGGGAGACTCCCATCCCAACCCACTTGAAAGTCGCCCTGCTTCTCCTGCCCCATTAGAGGAGTTTGTCCTTCTAGGTCACAAAAGAGAAGACTTAAACGGCGGCGTCCACAGGATCTCACTAAACGGGGCTATATTAGACAAACCCCATTGATCGGTATATATAATAAAATAATCAGCAGAGAAACACGTGTCGGGTCTTCACTCAGGCCGGGCATGACAGCAAACCAACAAACTCTTTTCACTTGGCGAACGAGTATAATAATAACAACAATGTTGATTATCAAGTATAGAGAGAGAGAGAGGAAGAAACCCAATCGGGGCCTCCTCAAAACAACACACACACACACACACACACACACACATGTACATACATGTATGACAAGTTGACTCTGTTTGTTGTCGCTTATCGGAGAGAAGCTTTCAGCCCATACATATGCTCTGTTATTTCAGACTCATTCCGTAGTCGGAAAGTACGCAATCGGCTGAAAGAGGTTTAAAGCGGTTTGATCGAGTTTGGCCCCTTTGTTTTGGTATTGTTTTCGTGTTGTTTCTTTTGGTTTTTTATACTTTCAGTCCAGCTCGGCAAAGCGAATGGCGACGACAATGAATCAACAACAAAGCAACAACAACTGATGACCACAGCACAAAGCGAAAGACTAACTTATAAAGTTGTTTCTATTAACATTTCGTATGAGGTACATAAATACCCAACTAATGCACAGAGAGTCAGAGCTTAGAGCTTGGTAATTATTTTGAGAAAATGCCATGAAATACGGATAAATATTGGCAGTAAAATGAACTGCGCAATATGTTTTCTAGCTTATTTATTGACAACAAACAAAAAACTTTCTTAACTACAACAAGATTAGCCAGCAAATACTCTAATAGGTCATAAATACGCTTTTCTATGCCTTTAACTCTTGTGAAAGGCATATAGATCTCTGATCCCATAAAGTTTATGACTGCCATGAACAAAGCTGAATCGATTGCTATTAACGTGACAATCTCGGAAAAAAAAATAAATATATTAGTTAATATATTTACTGTTGTGTTTCACAAACAGAATGAGCTCATCTTTATTTTTTCAGTGTATCTTAACATATTTTTTCTCTATTTATTCTTCCATTGGCAAAAGTCTATTAAAATCTAAAATGCAACATTTTTTTTTATTTTGCCATACCTAAAATTTAATAAATATGGGAAACTACGCAAAATGTATAAATTATTCGAAGGGCAGAAGAAGCACGCGAGTTGTGTCTTGGGGAAATGTTAAAAATGTTCCCGGTGTTAGGTACATGAACTTCCCTAGTCGAATAGTTCCTCGTTGCTTCCCTAGTTTTCATACAAATATCTGACCTAAGCAACAACAAAGGAATTTGCTTATGTTTACATTTTGTGTGCAGAGATGCCTGTCCTTAATTCGTTCAAATGTTTCATTCTACTGCACCACTGACACATATTTTGCAACCCCCAGAAATTGGCAACCCTTTTCTCGAATGCCAAAACTTTCCACATGACCTTGAAGTGATGCAACAGGACAAAAAAAAAAAAACAAAAACGCTGCCAGGATTCGCAGTAAACAACAGGCGGCAGCAGGCAAACAAACACCAATCTAACCGGTTCATATTACGTCGCTAAGAAGCCTGCTTCAAGGTTACCCAGTTTGAAGAGATGCCATCGATGTGCATGGTGGGCAGAGGGGCGCATCAGGGGAACAGAAGCTGCGCGTGCTGCGCCATTCCGGTACAGGTTTTCGGTGTCGGGCAACCCTGACATTGACATTGAGCAAAGCCGCGCAGGACCTGAGAGCGGCGCCTAGCGTTGCCAGACTTCCAAAGCTCTGGCTCTGTTTCAATGTCAGGCCCGGCCGTTGATTATGTCCTTGAGACTGAGTACTACGAGCGGTATATACGGAAATGGCCGTTTGATTCACAAAAAAGCTGCCAACAGGCCGTTAAATCAGATTAAAAAGCATGACGCAATTGGCTTAAGCTTTTGGGAGCGAAACAAAGAAAGTGAAAGGTAGATAGAGAGGGACAGAGAGCAGGAGCAGAGAGCCTCAACTTGTTAGACAGAATGCCGACCCAAAAATTTGTTTACGTTTTCGGCAGAGTTTCCGTACGCTACGTGTTTTGATTCTTTTGCTGGCCCTTATTCATTTACTTAAAAAAAAAAAAAACATATCGAATATCAAAACAACTTTCATGCGAAACTCAAAAGACAGCAATAACCTGAGCTGGCGCAAAGTAGTTTTGGATTTTGTTTTGCTTTGGCCTTTTGCGTCGCAGTTTTCTGCAAATTTTTGCCATTTAACAGAAACACCCATACACACACACACACACACACACATGCATGTACAAATTGGATTTGTCTTTCACGCGTGCGCAGCATTTTTTATTGTGCTCTAACAGGAAGCATTCCCCAGAGTACGCGATTTGCCATCTCGAATTATGTTTTCATTCTGCGGGAATGTTGCTGACATAGTCAAACGGAATTAACAAAATAAGTAATTGAAGCCTTGTGGGTAAATTGTTGATGTACATTTTCTTCTCTGCTTCTTCATCTTATGGTTGGGTTTGTTTTGATATTGAAGACCTTTGCGCTGCTCTAAAGTTAACATAATTCGGAGAATCATTGCATTGTTACTCAGTAAAAGACGCAACTCACGTTTCTGGATAAGGTTCCACAGCCAGTAAACCATCTTTAGCTATAATCTAATCAGCTGTCACTTAATGCTGTTTATATTGGCTTGATAAGAAATTGAATACAGGCTCTTAACAAATATTTTTTGACGTCTTTGCCAAGCAGATAAGTATAATAAAATTGAATGACAGACCAGCCGGTTGAAAGGCCAATTGGCAGAGCATCAAGTATATTTGGCCCAAAATTGGCGACAGCCACACTAAAATATCTATGTAAACTAACATAACACGGGCAAATGTAACGAGAAATGTGAGAAAATAAGATTTAAGACCATCACACGAAAGGCTTTAAGAAAACAAGAAAACAGGTGAACGACACAAAAGATGCAGCACAAACAAATCAACGAAGAAATAAAGAACAACAAAAACAAACTGCGATGACAAGTGCAGCGGCGTCGGCGAAGCGCGAATAAGAAACAAGGTCACTTCGTCAAAGCGCAACGGATTGCAGTGCGCAACAATAACAACAAAATGAACATACACATACATACATGTACGTACACATGCATGTAGCTGTGCTTGTGTACATGTGTATTAAAGTGCGTCTAGACGAGGAGCTTAACGCAACTTGAGCAATGTGCTAACATTGGGGCGAAAGCTTTGCGCTGCAAGTGCGAGTGGGAGCGAGTGCGAAATAGATAACATGTAATGCGACTGCCTGGCTAGCCGTTTTTGGGTTCAAGGCAGTTTGTATGCGTTTTCACATGCAATTTCTTTGTCCTTTCTGCGCCCTCACGAATATGAGTTTATGAGTAAGCACACTGATCGACATCATTTGGACGAGAGCAACATACGTATGTATGCACATTTATATATATATTTTCAAACACTGTCGTCAGCCCAAGCAGATGAATGAGTGTTGGTCAATATAAATAGGCCTAGCACAGTAAATACGTAATACAGGGTATTTAATATTAAAACAATAATCAATACTTCTGGCTTGCGAGTTGGAAGACTTCAAACAAGCAATTTCACTGAAATGTAATTTGAGTAAAAATAAAATAAAATGTATTCGAGTACCGTAAAAAGGTCTTGAGCATAGAGTATTAAAGCTTGGTTATTAGAAAAGAACAAAATGAACGTAGCAAAATATTTCAAATATGCTGGAAATCAAGTACATGACTCCTTTATGTTATAAATTAGAAAAGGTCTGCAATTTCGAATTTTAATATGAATGGAAATATAGTCTATAATAATATATTGTTTTGAAAGCAAACAAAATGCCTTTCTTCAACTATGAAATGTTGCGTGGCCCATGACTGTCACATTGTTGCGTGCGGGGAGCGGGGTGTCAGCAATAAAAACCAAACCAAAAAAGCGAATCGAATAAACAATAAAGTTAACGACCGACCAGTTGGGGGAACATGCAGATCGGCGGAGCAATCGTGGGCACATTTGTCACAAACACAATAAAAGCCTAAATTGAGTGAACGCCGCACAACAACATGCAACCGGCTGTGGCGCTGGCCAATTTGCGGCCCGCTTTTCAATGAGGCGTTTTGATTTGCGTTAATTGAACTGGCACACGTTGGACGCTTGAATGGCCAGCGCCGCCACTCGGTGTGAATCCGCATCGGACTAGTCTATTTAGCGAGCTGTGCGGAGATCTGTCTGCGTTCCAACTATGCCCCGTCAGAGGCAGCTACGTCAATTCATCCCAAAAAAAAAAAAAAAAATGTATATAAATATTTCGAGCGCGGACAATGACATAAATTATATTAGTCAGACAGCTGTGGGAAACTTACGATATTGACAATCAAATGTTTTCTTTATTATTATTATGCTTACTTATTGGCCTTGCTTCTTTTCATGGCTGCGCAGAGCTTGTTAACAAATTTAGCACCAGGTGCCAATTGCCTGAACTTAATTGGAAATTTCAACATTTTCAAGCATATACAGAACCAATAAACGTATCTAATTGATCTCATTGCGTGACTCATAAATTAGAAATCATCTTCAGGAATTCTTCCCCAATATATACAAGATTTTCTCAACTTCTGAATTCTCGCTAACTTGTCAACCGAAACCGCAAAACACTTTGCCAGGCATAAACATTGTTCTTAGCTGCAACCAAATGCCAAATAGAGTATACGATTTCAGTACTCGAATTTCTATTTTGCAATAAACACCCTGAAAAGGAGGTTTTTTATATTTTATCTATCCTAATCGAACTTCAACATCTGTAATGACAAAACTAATTGATTAAGAGTTTCTTCTTGACTTCGCTCGAGCTTTATCTTAAACATCCCACTATTTATTTGCCATATCCTCCGGAGCTGACAAAAAAAAAAAATAACAATCTTAGATATAGGCTTTGATTCAAAAGTACGTTCCCAATTTAAAGTCTCTAGCTCTTATTGTTTTCGCATTCGGGAACACACGGACAGATGTACTCTTACAGAATATGGGAACACACGGACAGTTACACACTTACAGAATATGGGAACAGTAGGCAATTGATAAACATAGTGGGAACACTTACCGTTCCCTTAGGGGCAGTAGTTTAAGGCCGCTGCCCAAATTGGAGACCTTTAGCGGTATCTTGACGCTGTCCGAATCGCTGCCGCTTTCGGCACCGGAACCGCCGCTGCCGCCACGCTGCTGCCGCTGCTTATTGTTGCCAGTGACCGGTGCCTGGTGGTGGTGGTGCTGCTGCTGTTGCTGTTGCTGCTGTTGCTGGCGGCCACAGGAGGTGGGCCGCTTTATGTTGCGTCTCTCAGCCTGGGAGGGCAGTACGCTCACATTCATCAGGTATTGACCCATATTTTCAGTTTCACTAAAACCATCACCATCGCTGGCACCGCCCACTCCTGCGGAAGCGCAGTCATCCAGTCCGCAAAGGCCGGCGCCGGCATCGCTGCCGCTGCCCATGTGCACATCGGCGCTGCAGAGAAGCAGCGCAGCTGCATTGCCGCCGCACTTACCATTCTGCTGCTGATGTTGTTGGTGATTCTGTTGTTGTTGTTGTTGGTGTTGTTGTTGGTGTTGGTGTTGTTGCTGCTGCTGCTGTGGTTGGCTGCTGCGCTGCTGATGATTTCGTTGATAATGCTGATGATAGCCGCCGGCGCCGAGTCCCAACGCTGCCGTTGCGTTGCCCTTGCTGTTGTTGTTGTTATAATGCTTCTGCTGCTGCTGTTGCGTGCAGACGCTGCTGCCGAATGTTGCGCCAAATTTTGTGTCCCGGTGTGTGCCATCTAATGAGATATTCGATAGAAACGAGATCGCAGCCAATCTGCGCCTGTGTCTCGTCTTGTTGAGCGAACTTGCCATTAGGCGCCTAACCGTTATCACAACTTGACAAATGCAATCGAGTGTTGGAAAACGACAAGTTGAGTGAGTGAGTAAGTGTGAGCGAGACAGCGAGAATCAGAGGACGAGTGTGCGCGACCTATGTTACGTTATACGTTATGTGGAATGTGGTCAAAAACTTACAGAGCTTTCCAGCTTAATACTTCCCGTTATTTTATATTGCACTGCCCAAAAGACCCGAAACACACAAACACACACAGAAATTTGTTATAGTTTTCTATTTTTTAGTTTCGTGTATTTATTTTTTTATGATTTTCAATTATTTTGTATTGATTTGCTTTTAGAGTTTCATTAATATTTGAATGGAATAATTTCGTTTGTTTTATTTTAATTGTTTCAATTTGTTAACAGTTAAACTGCTTAGTCTCTAAATTCGAAACCGAATGAAACAACAAACTACTTGAACGCGACATTTTGATATCAAAGCTCAAACAACACAATTTTTATAAAAAATTATTTGAATTTATTGCAATTTATGCACTTTTTTTGGTAAATTGAAACGCTGTCCATCCAGATTGACTGCAAATAAAAAATATAAAAAAACAGTAAACATTAAATCAATAAAATCATATAAAAGCCGAACGAAAAGCTATGCAATGTTGAACACAAGCTTTTTATACACTTGCTACGAACTGCATTATGCTAAAATCTGTTATGCAACAGTGCAGGTTATTGGAAATTCTCAAAATTTCCAAACTCCATTAAGATTAATTAATCATCGTATAATCATTGCAGCTTCACAGCTATAATATATACAAATTTATTTATATTTACAAGCTTAAAAGACATTCAATGATGTCATCACCTTGTGATGTACCGCGTTTTTTTTTTTAGTTATAATTTCAGCAACATGCATGAGCTGCCTTGAATTCGCAGGTCAAAGTCCTTAGTTATGGGATTCCTTTGTGTGTGTGTGACAGATGTCCCGTAATAACAAAGTGACGTCACACTTGCATGCACAGACAGTTGCACGGTCACTCTGGCAGCGCATTCAATTTATGTTAACAAACGGTGTTCAGACAGTATGATACACGTTATGTTAATGAATTACGAATTTGACACACCAATGAAAAAAAATAAATAAATCACGAATCTTAATAATCCTTTCACAGTCCTTCGGGACTATTCTATGCGAATAGCTTTAAAAAGCCAATAAACTCTGCGAGATAATTCGAGAAAGCTTTCGCTGCAAGTTTAATGCTGCCTGCAAAAGCTGAATGGCCGAAAGCTGCGTGCATTGCAATGTTGTTGTGTTTGTTGCTGCTGCCGATGATGATGATGATGATGATGATAATGATGATGTTGGTGTAGTTGTTATGCGTCAGTTTATGATTGACAAATCAACGGCCGGCGAAACGGTAACCGTTTATTTACCTGAGCCTGAGCCGAAAAATGAATAGGGATGAAATTTTCCCACTAGCAGAACATATCACAACAAATAACAAGGCATGGAAAATTTTCGAGCTAACAGCTGACGGCAACATTTGTGTTCTAGTTGGTCCAATTGGATACGAAACTGTGGCCAGTTGGAAAGCCGCACGTGCGCTTGGCATGGGGAAAATCAATGTTGAAACAAGTGTGCGTGAATAAAAAAAAAAAAACAAAGTGCGAAAATAAATACATATATGCAGGCATGATTCACGCCCACGCATGCAGCGTGTGTAGAAGGAGCCGCTGAAAAAAAAAATAGAAATATGTATTTTGTCACTTACCCACAATATGCAAAGTATTAGTTTTTTTTCGCACACTTTATTTGAAATATATATTGTTTTAATAAAATTAGAAATGTTTCAAGCGCGCCATGTTGATCTATTTTTAGCAAACGGTTTCGAAACTTTTTATCAACTGCGACCAATTACACACTCTCGGCTATTTTTCTATTTTATATATTTTGTTTCTATGCGCAGACTTTGATTTCGCTTTGCGCTGCTGCTTCTTGGACTGCTACCCCGCCTTCTTGCAACTTCTGCCGCTGCCTTATGTTGTCGACGCAGCTGCTTTCGTTGCGTAAATCGTGCGAAACCGAAATAGCTTTCAAAATGTTTACGAATCTTTGATTTAATGATTGACGAACACACGTCTTTAATTTATTTATGCAATTATATATCTTTGTTGAGAGACGCGAACTCGTATTCTAGCACGAGCGTTATGATTGATTTGGAATAAACGACAGAAACGTCAACGTTCCACAGAAAATTCACAAAACTGCTGATAGTGTGACCGCAGTACAATTCGCTAAAAATACCACACATTCATATGTATGTATATTTGTATAGTTTGCCCGGTCACGCACAAGGCAATTATATCGTCCATCACTAGAGCCAATGTGTACTTATCATATTTTCTCAGTTGTGTTTTTGGGCAACACTTGGCTCCACCCTCGCCGTTATTAGCAGTAAAACGAAAAAATCGAAGAAAACATGTAAAGTGATAAAACGCAACCAAAAATCAGTAATTTCATTATCCATTCATCACAAACCAATACCCATACACATCACAGACGCACCCACTAACCACAAAGACCCTAAAAGATGGATCACAATGAAATATCTATGTGCATGGACGTCAAATTGGATACACATGACAAGCGCGCCATTGCGCTGCGGTACAAGACATGGACCAGATGTCTGGTCAAGATCGAGGCCATCAAGTGTGTGCCGTGCTTTCTGCGCCTTAGCTTTCAGAGCCTCACGACCGATGAGGAGCCCCAACAACAACAGCAACAACAAAAACTGCTGAGCGTTTCGGTCAATGTGCCCGGAGTGAACATCAGCCTGGCCACCTCCCGCACCAAGCAGCACTCGTACGGGCTCTTCTGGACGCAGAATCGTCGCGATTGCTTTATATACTTTGCGCTGGAAACAGAGATTGCCTGTCGTCGGCATATGAAGTGGATCAAAAAATCGATCAAAAATCTTGAATTGTTTAGGCAGATATTTCTGGAGCAGCGCAGATTCAGCCGCGACACAAGGTAAAAGTTCAGGCATATTCGATTTTACTGTACAATTATTTAATAACTGTCAATTTTAGCGCCCAAAAGGCACTGCGCCCCTTGCCAAACGTGCCCGAATCCTTTTGCTTTGACTTGGACGCAAGTAACTTTTCGTTTTCCGCACGCGTCTCACAAATCTATGAGGAAATCTTTGATGGGAGCCGCATCTCACGCGCATCAATTGCATCGGGCATTTACGAGGAAATGAACTTGGCGCCTTGTGCGTCTGCAGCTGTCGCGGAGAAGCCTCCTGTGGTGCCGCCTCTGCCAGCGCATCGAAAACGCATCAACACGTTTGAATGCCAGCCGGGCGAGATACCGCGCTCTAGCACCAATCCCGAGTCAGAGCTGGCCAAGAAGAAAAAATACAAAAATATGTTGGACAATTTCTTTGGCCAAAAGCGTCGATCGGGCAGCGCCAGCGTCGTTGAGCTTCAGCCGTCCGGCCGAGCAGCTGAAGAGCAGAAAGAACAGCAACAGTTGGCGTTATACGAAAATGCACCCACACCAGAACCAGCGCCAGCTGTGAAACGAGCTTCAAACCTGAAGAATGCACATCGCAACAGCTTTTCGAGTCCAGATCTGTCACAGCTCAACTTTCTGGACACCTTTGGCGAGGCATTGTCCAGCGATGAACTGAATATAAGCCTCGAGGACTCGGCCATTGAGCACGATTCGCGCCATGTGCTGCTAGCCCAAATCGCAGGCCAGCTGAGCAAGGCCGACTCGCTGGCGAGCCTGAATGTGTCCGAGCAGCTGCCCCACAACTTTAACTTTTCCGCCTGCAACACGTCCACCATCAATCTGATTGGCGCCAACGGCGCCGTCTCACAGCTCCAGCAGCGCAATAAAAATGTGTTGGTCGAAGAACTCAATGGCTACTGCGTCATGGCGCCCATCGCTCAGAAGACAACCGGCGGCGACAGCAGCAGCGCATTGATTGAAAAGAAGCCCAGCGGCAGCACTGCATCCACCACATCAGGCTACTCAACGGGTTCCTACTGCTCATCCACGAGCAGCTGCAACACCGACGAACAACTGGCCAAAACGACAAACGTTGCGGAGCCGCCAATTGCAGCTGAGGCCGCACAAAACGATACGAGTGACATTTATGAGTCGATGCACATCACCTCACTCAATAGCAACAGCGTCTTAGCCGAGCATCTTTATGAGAATCTGCTGGCAGTGAAGGCATCACAGGAGCTTGAGCAGCACCCGCTCGGGCTGGGCTATGGCCTGAGCACCAGCACACCCACCGAATCGCCGCTATTGCCAGCGCTGCCGCCGAAGCAACAGACGCCCACCACCGAGAAGTCCGGACAGGAGGAAGAGGACTACTATCAGACACCGCGCAAGTCCATAATAAGCGTGGATGATAAAATACCGTCCTATTATCCGAACAGCTGCGACACGGTCAAGTCCAAGCGCCGTAGTCCCAGCAGCGCCGAGGCAGCGCCGGGAGTACGTCATTTGGTCAGCGCCAAGCTGCGTCGCGAACGCAAGGAGAATCTGTACATATCGTCACCTCAGCAGATTATCGAGCAGCGGCATAAATCAAGCCAGCCTGCAAGCACCTCGGCAGCGTTGGCCAAGACTAAAAAAGACTTAAACAAAAAGACTGCCGCCCACAAAATCTCCGAGGGTGTCTATGCCGTCACCCATCCGACAAAGCGCGCCAGCAATGGCATTAGCAACAACAACAACAACAACAATAACAATAACGATATACAGGCCGTGAATGTTGGCGAGGAGGAACTGCTGCAGCTGGTCATGCTGCAGAATATTGATTTCAAGTTTGACGACGGCCAAGCGCCCGAGGCCAGCACCAGCATTAAATCCAAAGCCAAAACCAAATCGAAATCGAGTCAATTGGAGGATGAATACGAGCATTGCTATCAGGCAGCAGAGCGTGCAACGCGCATGCTACAAAAATATGCCACGCTGGCCAAGTTTGGCAACTCGCCCACCAAACAGCAGCAGCTGCAGCTAAAGGCAGCCATGACCCAATCCCAATCGGCGTCCAATACGCCCAACGAATTGCACCAGCAGCAGCTGCAGCAGTTGGCGCCGCCGTCCAACAGCTTGAAAAAGTTTGCCTCGTTGCCGCGCTTTAAGAAGATTGACTTCTCGCCGCTCAAGATGCGGCTGAATAATGTGCTCCAACGGAATGCAACAGCAGCAGCTCCCGCATCGCCTCAGTAGCAATAAGCATGTTTGTTGTTGTTCTTGTTAGTAGGTAGCATTAAGCTAAATGTAAACGCTAGTATTTATGTTCTCGCATGTGATTTGCCGCCTCTAAATGTATTTTAAGTTTTAGCTTTTACCTTGTACGAATGTATCAAATACGCGCTCCATGCAGCATTAGTCTAGCATTAGTCTGATTTGCCACAAAATATTATTGCTTAGCTTACAAATAAGTACATCTATATATAAGCAAATCATATCATTCATGAAACTAGCATATTCCATATCTGATATCCGATGTTGTGTCTCTTGGTTGTTTGTCTACAAATGCGAACGCGTTTCTATGTCCAAATATCAGATCTAAGTGTGCTCAATTGTAGAGTTATATTGAAACGCTTTTATTCATATATACACAAACTATTGTTGACTTATTCTACAAACGAAATTAGCTTATTTAGATATTAAGGCAGCTGCTTTTGGCTTCGGTTGTTCAAATCCTTCAGCTCAATTTTAAAATGTGCGCTAGTATTAAGTCCATATTTGCCGATAAACGCTTCAATTAACACATTTATTTATATTGGAAGTAATCTTGTTAAATTATTTAAACAAAGTCTTGTCAAAATGTTAACCGCTTTGAGTGGCCGCCCTTCGCTTTTTGGCTTTGCAAACATATCAACAAATTGTTAAACTAAATTAGTTAGAGTACGCGAAAACATAATTCGGTCCCTGCCGAAAATGTTTTAATTTTAATATATACACTTATATGCAATACTAGAAGGAATTACCCGGCTTTGTCGGGTCATACGTATCTATGCTGCAAATGCTTTTGTAATTTGCGCCAAGCTCAGATCTTCCAGGATCTTTGTGCTCAGAGTGCATTCATTTAGCCCGCCGCGCTACGAAAGCGATACACTAGCATCCTACTCATTAAATAATGGACAAAGAATTGAAAAAGTCCAGTTTATACAAAAGAAATGTTTATTATACCATATAAAAATATGTGTCATAGCGACATAAGGCGTTTTAGCTTCTTCTGCAAGGATATTAACTATGGATATTGAAAAAGCTTCTTTATAGCGCAATTAAGGCTCAATTGTACCGTGACTTATATATAATAAACTTTATACAAATGAAAGTTAATAACAATAAAACTTAATCAATGCTTTGTTAACGTACAAGCAATAAAAACTAAGATTCTTTCTCCACTCAACTGTAGACGAGAGGTCGTCGCTGTTGATGGATGAACTCCTGTTCGATGCGCGTGTTTTTGGGCACGACATAGAAAAGCAAAGCGCCGCCCGAGACGAAGAAGCCCTTCTCGTTTATAATTTCGCGAAGTGTCTTGCTGAGTGTCACCTTGTGCACGCAGCCAGCCTTGCGGTTCTCATAGTAGACATGGACATTGTCCGGGCGATAGCTTAACGTCTTATCACAGGGCAGCGGCTCGGCAAAGAGCGTGTTTAGGCAATCCAGCATGGTGGCCGTCTCTGGCAGTTGCTGTTGGAAATCACTGAGCAGAAACTCTGGATAGGAGAAGGCGGCGGGCCAAATCAGGCTACTGCTATCCTCATCCAAATGCACTGGATAGTCCTCGAGTGGCAGAAACTTGGGACGCAACAGATTCTCGGTAATATTTGGACGTTTATTAATTGGCTGATCATCGAATTTAATGGCACGCTGCTCCAAGGCATCTCTCAGTTTGTGGAAACGTGTCAAACGGCGCTTGGACTCGGCAGCTTCCTTGCGTTGATTGCGCTCTGCATCAAGCTGTTGTGGGTGAGTGTAAGATGTTATGCATTTCTTTGTGACCCTTCACTATTGAAACTCACCTTTCTCATTTTGTTCTTGTGTAGCAGCGCCTTGGCATCCTTGTGATCGATGTCCACTTCGAGCAACTCCTCGCAGAGCTGGGTGCACACATCGAACTTCTCAAGCTCATAGGCACATTGTGCGGCGCGCCAGCGCGCCTTGGTGTAGTCCGGTTTGTAGAATAGGGCACGCTGTGCATCGCTTAGCGCGGAACGATGATTCTTGATGAAGTAGTGGGCCGCCGAGCGATTGTTGTACAGCACTGCCAGCACATCGGGATTCTCGCACTTTGTTTTGATGCCCTCGCTAAAAGAGTAAACGGCCATGCGGAATTTCTTGTGCTTCATGTAAAAGTTTCCATCCTCTTTGTAATTGAGTGCTAGCTCTTCCAGTGTGTTCTCCTCCGGATCATATTTGAGCTTTTGTAGGCCCTCAAACATCGGATGCACCTCATCACCTGGCTGTGGAGTTCGTTTCATGAAAAACGGATGCTTGTCCATTTCCTCCTGCCAGCGATCTTCCGGCCATCCCTCCTCATAGCGTTTCTTCTCCAAGCCATCAATAAATTCATCAAGCTGAGCATCCAACTGCGCAGCGAGCTCTAGCCTTTCCTCATCTGTCCAGTTCTTTTTCGTCGCCAGGTTCTCCATTTGCGTCCCCTTACTAACCAATTGCACATGCTGTGCGTACAAAGGCTATCGATAATCTACCAAAATATATCGAAATAATGCGGTATTTTTCTGCATATCGAATTCGTTATTTTTTGCGTTCTTACCTTCGGTCACACTAATTTGCGTTTACCAATGGCACAAAACCTCGACGATGCTTATCTTAACTTGAGTTAATAAAATTATTATTATTATTATTTATTTTATTAATTGTATAATGGATTTTTTGTTATTAAATAGTAATTATGTTTTTATATGAAAATACTTTATACATATGTATGTATTTGTTATAAAAAAGGCAATGTTGCCACGAAAGTGTAAAACAGTGTGGCAACGCCTGCAATGAATGAAGAATTTTTGGCGCGCAATAGCTGAGATGGAATTGGAAGACATGGAAGTGGATGAAAATGCTCCGCATCGGTAAGTTTATAAACAATGACAAATCTCTTAATATCGTTAGATAATATCTGTTTCCAGCTATGTGCGGACCGCGGAAGACGTTAAGGCAATTGTTAAGCATGCGAAAATGGACGAACGTCAGCTCACACAACTCACACAGGCTTTGTACTATCCTGGCGCCGAGGTGGTCAGCGATAATCTGCGTCTACTGGAGCTAGACGAGCACATGCTGCAACAGATCCGCACCGGTCAGACATTGCATTTCAAAGGCGGCCTGCATGAAAAAGTTGTTCTTTGCACGGACGAGCGCACATACGATGTGAAAGGCGCCGAGATCTCAAATAGCCTGTTGTTGGTGCCGGAATTAAAGTTTGCGGCAGCTACGAGTACCTCCCCACTGAAAAGTCCGCGTACGGGCAATGCTAACACGTCACTGGAGCGCAGCCTCAATGACAGCGCAGATGATGATTTGGAGGTGCCGCGCACTCTGGAACAGAAACAGGTGCTCACGATTTTCCACGAATACTTCGAATGCCGTGAAATACGCCCACGTTACCGCAAGCTAGGTGAACTGCTCCAGCTAACACGCTACTCCGGGCCAGAGAACGAGTACTGTATTGAGCGCAAGCTGCTGTTCAGTTTCCAGCAGCTGTTGGACACAGTCCAGTGCAGTCGTGCCCAGTTTGTTGAAGGGCTGAACCAGTACAGGGCTCTGGAATTCGATGGCCACATACGTATACTGGACTACGAGTACGAATATCGCATTATCAATTTAATGCTTGGAGTGATAAGCGAAAATTCTTGGGCTCTGGATGAGGTTGAACGTGAAGAGACAATTTACGCACTGCAAGGCATTGCTCCGGAACCCATTGTGGCTGGGCTTTTTGATGTCTACACAAAACCAAGTGATCGATGCCCTAACAAGTTCAGATACCAGGAATCGCTTGTGGCACGCATTGTGGCACAGAACATTCTACAGCCAGGTCTGCGTTTTCGCAGCGAGGAGTTCATGTGCACCTGGCAGGATGCTTTGCCCGAAGGAATGACCTGTAAGCTAGAGTATCTGCGCGGATTAGGCATCTTGGACAGAGAAGGTGCACAACCATGCGTACGTTCCCTAGCCGAGGAGCAGCTGCCCTCCAATATTAACGATCGCATGCGTGCCTTGTTTAAAACAAAGCGCAAGTGGACAATGGATGAGATGGAGCCGTACATAGAGTAAGCCGATGATCTTTTTTGGGTCAGCCATCATCTAATGCTTAACAATTTCTTTCTGCAGCTGCTTTACCACGCCCACACTATCTGTGTCCACATTACTGGCCAAGCACGCACGCTCTCTTACCGAGGGTGGCATACGATACTTTGTTTCAAAGCATTGAATACATCAATTTATTTTTACAGTAAACTAAATTATATTAGTTTATACATTGCGTTTGCGTTTGTTGCGCTGTTTCTTGGCAAGCTTCATGTCCTCAATGGCCGCCTTCATTGTTTCAACAGCACTCTTCCCATTACTGGTAGCCATATCTGAGCCCGAGAGAAGCTGACCCGTGCTGGTGGGATATTTAAAGCTGAAACCCTTGGGGAAAATAGGCTTCGATAGCAGGGCGGCAAGTTGTGCCCGCACTGTATCCACATGCACGCGATTTCGTCTCCTCTCAATGATAAACGGATCCTCGTCTTGATCGCTGCCACTGTAAGGTAAGCGAATTAGAGTATTGGCTAATATCAAAACAGATTTACATACGACTCATCGTTATAGCCGTCAATAATCATGTCCATTTCCTCGGCATGCTTTTTCATCCAACCCTCCTCGCTTTGTGTGCGTCGCAGCTTCAATTCCTCCTTGTCCAGTTCGCGTGCTAGATTAACCCGCTCCTTGACAGAGCCCATAAAGCGCTCAGAGATTGGAAAAAGAGGTAGATCCTCAGCTGTAAGAAACAGGTTTCATTGAATCAACATGCCGACTATATTCAATGTCAGCCACCTACTTCTTTCCAAGGTTTTGTATAACCTTACATAGGTCTTGACCTCGCCAGGTTCCATAAACATGACCGTTATGCCATGTTTATTGGCACGCGCCGTGCGACCCGACCGATGCACATAATTCTCGCTGGTGCGTGGCACTTGGTAGTGTATCACATGCTCAACATTGGGTATGTCTAGACCACGGGCAGCCACATCGGTGGCTATCAGCAAACCCATCGGACTATCACGGAAGCGTTCCAGATTTTTTAGGCGCTGCTTCTGTATCATGTTGGCGTGCAGCGGCAACGGATTGCAATCCAGCAAACCGAACAGCGTGGCCAGACGCTTAACGCAGTCAATGGAGTTGCAGAAGACAATGGTACGACCAGGATGACGTTGCACAAAATAGTACAGATAATAGTCCTTCTCATCAATCGCGCACAGCAGCCTACTCTCGGTGAGTGTTTGTGCCGTTTCTGTAAGATAAGTTTTAGGTGTTACTCAAAGCCATTTCTTGGAAGTGGTGCTGGCCACTTACGTTGGCTGCTGGTAATGTCCACAATCTTGGGCTGCGATATGCCCAACTCTTCAATTAAGCTCTCAATCTTTTGATCCACCGTTTGCTTGACAAACTTGGGACGTTTAGCCAGATTACGTTCTACAAGTATAAAGCAATTGATGAATTAAATAAATAGTTTGGAATTTCAGTTCTAGTTTGCCTACTTTGCATATGCTCGGGTAGATCGTGCACGAGCGTCAATGTGGCGGAGAACACAAAGTTCTGGCGCAACTTTTTGCGGTCCTCATCCGCGTTGAGTACCTTGAGCAGACTGCGCAGCTCCTCAAAGTGACCCTTCTCCACCATGCGATCGGTTTCGTCTATGCACAGAAAGTTAACATTTTCAATCTTGTTCAGGTGCTGATTGCCCTGCGCATACAGTTCCCAGAGGCGACCCGGCGTGGCTACCACAATCTCGGGGCACTGGCGCAGCACGCGCTCTTGCTTGGCCACAGATAGGCCACCAAAAATGGCTGCCACACGAATGCCCGTATATTTGGCCGCTGCGACAAGATGATTCTTCACCTGCACGGCCAATTCACGGGTGGGCGTCAGCACCACAGCGTAGAGTGGACGACCCATGCCCTGGTTGTGCTCCTCAGCATCGCTTTCTTCATCACTGGCACCGGACACATAGTCCAGTTCCTCTGGCGGCGGTGTCAGCTCGTGATTGTGATTGTCCTTCGACTGTGGCGGCTCTTCCACTTGTTGCGTGCCTTTAACCTTCGGCGCCTTGCGAATACATGACCCGTCGTTGCGCTGCTTCAGCTCCATAATGCCCGAGAGTATGGGTATGCCAAAGGCAAGTGTTTTGCCGCTTCCAGTTTCAGCAGCGCCAAGTATATCCTTCTTGCCATGTATAGCGGCAGGCAGGGTCATGGCCTGAATTTGGGTGGGCGCCTCGTAGCCTTGCTCTGCCAAGGCGCGCATAATTGGGGCCGGCACGCCCATGCCATTCCATTTCGTCATATCTTTCTCATCTTGCGGGGTGGAGGGTACAAGTTGTGGCACTTCCTCGTCTCCGGAGCTTGCCGCCGCCAAGTCGGTGCCATCCTCCGGCAGCGGTCGAAGCAGCGCAAATCGATCAGGCGCATACTCATCATTTGGTGTGAATTTTGACTTGGTTGACTTGGGCTCTGAATTAGGTGCAGCCTTCTTTTGTTTTCGCAGTTCCTTTCGCTTTTCACGCTTCTCCCGCTGCTTCAGAATGCGCTGTGCACGGTGCTCCGCCATGCGAGCTTTCTTACTAGACTTTGATGATCTGCTAGCCTCCTCCTCAGCTTCGCTATCGCTTTCGTCTTCGGTAGTCGAAGGTTCTGAATCATCCTCGGGTTTTGGTTGCTTGCGTTTTTTGTTCTTTTCATTGCCTCTGGTGCCACTCTGTTTCTGTGTTGATTTCACCAGTGCCGCATCGTAATCCTTCAGCACCTCGAGGCCAATCAGGCCCTCGTAACCGGTAAAGTCGTTGGATATCACGTGGCCCTTGATTTTTACCTTCTGCCAGCCCTTCGCTTTCACTACTGGGCTATCCCCGGCGCTTTTGACTTTCTTTTGCTTTGCATTTGAGTTACTCTTTCCTTTTATCGTTACCATTTTTACATGAAATGATGCCCAGAGTTCGATCTGGCGCTGTCCGCGTGTTTCGTTTGTTGATATTTAATTGGACAGGGTTGTTATGTGCTATGTGAGTGTTGAACAACGTGTGTGGTATAAGAAGGCGCAAAATTTGAAAGCTGTGAATTGTGGCTGTTTAACACGTATAAGAACAGAGAATAACTTTTATGCTCAAATCCGAGATGTATTTTTGTCTTTGTCGAAAGGTAAAAAAATTTATTTAACAAGTTAGGTGTAAGTTTACTGCTTTTTATGATCTTTATTATAATAACACTTTCAACTGTTTTATATGCCCGTGGGAGGTCTTCATATTTTCATATAGCCTTTAATATTATAACCCCATTGAAGGACATTATCTTTTATGCTAATAATAAATAAACTATCCACTTATTTAGTATAAGCTAAATGTGTTCGTCAGCCCGACATAGTTTGGGGCGGGGTCCTATCTATATCAAGATACCAGCTGCCTGCAACTGCGGAAAGATACCAGTTACGAATTGACTTATACAGATACAATTGTTAAAACAGCTACAGGAAAACACATTTATTTATTAAATCAGTTATGGAATACTATTGTGATATATTGCTCAGCTTAACATTAAAAACGTTTCAGGAATTCCTCAGCACATGTGCGTGCTCGGGCATTTACCGCCAGCTTCATTTCGCTGATTTCCTTGTCGATTTCCTCCATGAAACTGATGACAAAGTCCACCAGTTTGTGTTTGTACATTTGCTCCGTATGGAAATTTGTTATCAGAAAGCTAATGTCATATCCCTCGATTGGCTTGCGTCGCAGTATGATGAAGGATTCTGCGCGACGCATCATGAAGCGTGTAAACTTGTGGCACAGAATGCGCTCAATTTCATCTGCCTGCTTGACGGCAATGCTGACCCGCACCGAGTTGATGGACGGCTCAATTCGCACCTTTTCCCTCTCATTACGCGACACGACGATGGGCGTGAGCACCAGTTCTTTGCTGGAACAAATTTCCACCTCCGGCTTGTTGTGCCGTTCCACAACTTGCGATGGAAAATCCTGCAGACACATTGCAGCAGTTAACGAATGCCGTACAGCGGTCAAATACGGTTTAAGGGTGGCGGCCATGGTTTGTTACAAGTCTTAATGCTCCGTTTAATGTTTTAATGTTTGTGTTGAGGTAAATTAACCTTCTTCTTTTATTATGAATCACACGACGATAGTATCGATGTTTCTTATTCGCTATCGATAGAAAATTCTTTTTCGATATCGGTAGTCCACTATTCTAATAAATACCAAATTGTACATTATGTGCATAAATAGTTTGAATGGTAATTATTCATTTGACACATTTTATAAGTGTGCAGATAGTGTGTAAAATGAATTTGTTTATTTATTTTTAAATGCAGTTTATATATCGTGAAGTAGTTCTTTTCATCAGTCATGTAAGTGTGATAATGGTAAATTAAAAGTCGACGGTTAATAGGATGTGCGAACTAGACTTATAAAAATACCACACTTCGAATTATTGTTTTGCAATCGATAAATACCACACTTCGAGTTATTGTCTTGCAATCGATAACATTTATGCGAGGCTTTCGATGCGACTTATCGACCGACTACACTGCAATCGGGAAGCAGCAGATGCGTAAAAATATAACAAGAAACATTTTTACCTAAATGACGCGGTAATCGTTGCTTATTCAGCCAACCAGGAAAGCAGCAAGATGTGGAGCAGCATCACGTGGCTCCTGCTCCTGGCGGCAACTGCACACACATCGCCAAACAGTGAACATGTTCCTCCTCTACCTCTAAACTTAAGCAAAAACACAACCATAACAAATGAAACCTTAACTAGCAATAATAATAAAGTGCCTACGTCTAACGCTGCCGCCGGCTACATGCCGCTTCAGCAGACATCAGGAAGTGTTTTCTTCGTTAACTATAATCAGCAAAACTTTGTGCAGCTGAGGCACAATGTGGAGAATAAGTTGCACAGTATACGTAATGTGGAGATGCTCGTTACCAAGATACAGGTGAGTCCCATGCTTTTCAATGACTTCCTGCTGTAATCCGCATTGAATTCTTGCAGGAAATCTTTGACTCAATACATTTTGCCAGTTCTGTAACTACGCGGCTGTCGTCTGGTAACGGCAACGAGACCGTGCAGCAGGATCTGCAAGCATTTAGCCAGCGTCTGGGACGCAAGCTGCAAAGGGCCACGCATGCTGTACTGGAACTGCGTGATTTATTGCGTTTCAATCTAAGCAATGTGCTCCTGCAGCAGCACAGCTATGACGACGAAGCGGATGATGACCTAGAAAGTGAATTTGATTTTGAAGTGGAGGATGGGGATAGCAACAATGCGGCCGTTAACAATGAGCACATGCATCTCTACTTGAACACGCAAATCGAAAACTGTCAACTATACTATGAGACCAATTTGGATGCCGTATCCTCGGGCTCTGCCCATTACAATAAACAGCAAATACAAATCTTAAACTATCTCAAGTCGGATGAGGCATCACGCGCCACATTCCTCAATGAGAACAGTGGACGCTCCCTTGCCGTCAATAGCTATATTGCCGATCAGCTGACGATGCTCAGGCAGCGCCTAAGCAGTAGCCCAGGCGACAACGAGCCAGGCAGCAGCAGCAGCAGCAACAAAAACAAACCCAGCGGCAGCAGCGTCAGCGTCAGCCACTTTAAGCACATCTATTTCCTCTCCAGCAGCGATGGTGCCTCAGGCAGTGCACATTTTCGTCGGCTATACGTTTCGGCCATAAAGCGCAAGTTTGTGATGCTACTCATCGATGTGGGATCTGCATTGAATGCCGAGCTGTTTGATATCACCAAAAGCTTTGGTAAGTCAATGCTCAAAAGAACACAGAAAAAATCTAGATTATTCAGATCGCTTACAAAGAATGATAGCTAAGATTTCATATTTCATATTTATATTATAAATTATTAAATTATATGTGCTATTTCCCACACAGTTCAGGAGGTTCTGCTGTTGTTGGAGGACACCGACTATGTGTCGTTCGTGACTGTTTCCAGTGAGGCCGACTTTATGTATCTGGATGCGTTTCCCGCGGAAGCCGTACACGGCATGTATAGCGCCACACGTGCTCATAAGGACGAGATTCTTAGCTATGTGAATAACCTGAGCCTGGGACGTGGAATGACCAATCATACGCTGGGCTTCGAATATTCATTCGAGCTGCTGCATCGACTGCAGCAAGCTCGGCTGATTAATGTTTCCGAGCAACCCATTGAGTTTGTTTATGTGACGCGTGGATTGCTAACAAATCTATCGGAGGCCATGCACGTGCTACGTGTCTTGGCTCAGGGCCAGAGTCGTCTGCTGTCGCCAGTTATCATCAATACCTGTGCCGTGGTGCTGGATGAGAAGCGCATAATGTATGAAAAACAGTTTCTGAGCGATATAGCTACGCAGAACTATACCAAGTTCGACATTGATGTGCGCGCCTGGCTGCCCGCCGGCCAGGAGGCGCAATTGGCAGGACGCTTCTTTGTGCTGAATAAGATGCATGCGGAAACAATACCTCGGGCGAGCAGTCGTGTCTTTGGTCAGCTCTTCACCGAGCGCTTTCTCACGGATACATTGGAAGTGCACCAGCCCGTTGTGGATGCGGACAGCGGAGGTGAGTCCATAGCATTTGATTAAGTTTAATTCTTAAATTAAATTCGTTAATTTGCTAGACGTTCTGGTTGCTATTACACATGCCGTGCCGCCATACGGTGTGGTGGGCGTCAATTTGTACTTGGCCGATTTATTGGAGGACCTGCTGAACTACCCGAATGCCTCGCCGGCTGCCAAACAGGGCTTCAGCTATGCCTTTCTGTTGGATCGCGACAACGGAAATACCTTGGCCCATCCGGCTTTTCCTCGCCCACTCATACAGCGCGAAACAGCATTTCCAGTAAGTATTGCTTACCTCGAGAACGCGACAGACTTTGCCAGCATTCTCAAGCGCCTGCTGCATGAGGAGCGCGGCAACGCCAGCACTGCCATCTATCTGGGACGCCAACAGTTGCTGCGTACCTATCACTGGCAATCCGTGCTGGGCATTTATGTACTGTGTCTGGTTAGTACCGCAAGCATCAGCGGCTCTGCCGCCCACAATGTATCCGCTTCGCTCCAGCGCTACAATCGAATGGAGGCTGTGTCTACCTACGAGTCTGGATATTATGGGGACATCAAGGACCTGTTGTATCATCGTTTGGATTTGATGCAAAACGGTGGCAGTGGCACGCCCACAACCTGCCGCTACTTCAGGCAGCTAGCCACAATGGGTGAGTGTATATTGAAACCTCAAACTCAACAATGTTTCCCATCAAGATTCGGTTCATCCCCCTAGTGTCAATTGTAGAAATCCAGGCTTTGATTAGTTTTTTCTCACTGAAAACTTTTAATTTAACTTGATTGCATTTAAAAATGATTTATCGCATGATATAGAGGACATCTAACTGACTTGAATTGTTCCTTAAATAATAGACTTTTTCTGTTCCTGCAGATGCACCCACTCTTTTCCTGAGTGCTGCTGCCTTTAATTCGCCCTTTGCGTTTCTGCACAACAATCGACCACGTACGCAGCTGCGGCACGTGGAGTCCATTATGGCGTATCTGCGCGACTCGAGTGGCCTGCTGGCTAATCCCGGCCTGCGTGCTCGCATACGGCATGAGGTTGGCGTCTTGTATCAGGCCATGCAACTGTTGCGACGGCGGCATCAGGACCCGGCTGGATCATTGCGTAGTCACATAATTAGACGCTACGTAGCCAGTGTCAGTGGCGTGCTGCAACTGTATCCGGGCTGCCTGTTGAGCAGCAGCTATGATGCAACACGACGTCCTTGGTTCCGGCAGGCGATGGCACAGCCGGGGCGCATTGTGAGCACGGCGCCGTATCTGGACGCAGGCGGTGCGGGCTACATAGTGACCATAGCGCATACGATATTCGAGGGTAAGGCGGATGCACTGCACTCGGCCCAGCAGGATCGGCCGGTGGCTGTGGTCGCACTGGACGTACCCTACGCCTTCTACTATCGCCTCATATTGGACAGCACGCCGCTTTGCCAGCTGCCGCACATGAAGTGCCTACTTTTCGAGCACGAAGGCTACTTGCTGGCGCATCCCAGCATGCTGCAGGTGTCGACATCGACGCGCAATCAACGCCGCCCGCACGAGCACTTGACGCACAAGGAATCCTATCTGGCCAACGATATGCTTAATCATGGCCAGCTGGTGCGAAAGCTGGGCTGTGCCAGCTATCAGAATCGCACGCTGCAACGCTACTACGCCTTCAACACATCCTTGGCTACAATTCTGGGCAATGTGGTGCATGGCGAGCGCACCAAGTACGCCATTGGCCTGATACGAGGCAGCAATCTGTTCGCAGCGGTGCTCAACTCTAGCTGCGATGGCGGCGCCTTTTGTCCCTGCAGCACCATCGATCGCGTGTGCCTCAACTGCAAGCGTATGGATCAAACGGACTGTGAGTGTCCCTGCGAGTGTCCCATGCTGTCAAGCTCTGGTGCCAGCGATCTGCACGATTATGCAAACTATACGCGGCAATTTCCCTACTGTTCACCGCCCAGCGAGCATTTCCTTGCACTGCCGCCTACAACACAACTATTAACCAGTCTACCAAGCTGTGCCGCTGCTGCTGCAGGAGGCGGCTGCGAGGCGTATGCCACTCAGCGGGAGTGTCTCGGCGTAATGGGCTGCGAATGGTGCCAGCAGGATGTGGAGGGAAACGGCTTCGGTGCGGCCTTCTGCTCGACACAAGCGGGTTGCTTTAATGGCGTTCTAGCCTCACTGACGCCCTACGGGGAGCTGGATGAATTGGAGATGCTGGCCGCGCACAATCCACAGCGTGAGCAGCATGCGTACTCCGCCTTTGGACCACTTGGTGGCGCCATTGTTGTGCTTGCCGTGGTAATTGGCTTTGCCATTTATTGCTATAGGCACAATCTGGACACACAGGCACAGGAGCAGTTCTACGTGGATTCGGTGCAGGAGGAGAATTACGGTCTGCCATTGTCGCGTTTCAATTTCGATGATTGCCAGGCGCACGATGAACCGCCCATGGGTGGATACGATCATGCTGCTGCCCAGCGTCAACTAATGCATGCCGCGGACATTTCGCCATATCATATGTCGAGCGGCAGCAGCTATTATCGCCGGCCCCCGAATGGTGAGTCGGATCATGGCTATAGCACCATGACACCACACGAGGACAGCTCCGATCAGCAGTGCTTTACGTTGGCGGAGCCACTGCTGCTGCACGACAAGCGGCACAGCAAATCGGACACCATGTCCATATCAACATCCATATCGAGCCCAACCAATCGCCAACAGTCCACAGCGCATCCCTATTTAAGCAATCAGCCGGCTTCCAAAACGGAGCGCTATAAACAGCAGCAGCAGCAGCAGCAGTCACAAGCGACGCCATCGCCATGTCGCGGCGCAGCTGCTGTTTACGGCCAGACGACACTTCCGCTGGATGCGGAGGAGCCACGTTCCCACTACATACTGGCGCCGGTGACGGTGCATCGGCATATGGAAACCGCCGAGTCATAGTCCCAGCTAGTTTGTTAGGTTGCAATACTATTAAGACGTCCGCTTGTTTGCCAATTTGGTTATTTTGTACTAAGGTCTGGGGGAAGTTCAACTGCCCCAGTGCAGCGCAGTTTGAGCAGCATAGGTCGATGCCTATCACACTCACACATACAAAATGCCAGCCAATTTAATATTTAAGTCGTTTTTATCGTTAATAACTTTGCCATTTTTGTCCATATACACGTTTGCGTGTACTGTAATTTATTGCAAAAAGTATTATTATGCAGCTACTTCCAATATTTTTAGCATTTATTGTTAAGCACTAAATCAACTAATTGTACTTATTGTCAACCGTGACAAACGACTCGAAGCAAGAGTATGCATTTTTGTAATAGTTTTTAAGTCCATAAAGTTACTAACTATCGATTTTAGTAAATAAACACACACAAATTGTATGTTTCCAATAAAATGTTTAAATTTTATAGAACAAAAATTCAAAACAACAAAAAAAAAAACGCTCAGCCTTGATTTAGAGCGAATTTTCAATTGTCTGTTCGCACGCCCAGCTGTCGGCGCGTTAATGAATTTATTTTTACATTAAACAAAAAAAGAATAGTAGAATAGAGAATTTCCAATAGACATTGGCCAAAATGCTGTGTGTTTATAAATAACGAGATGTGTTGGAGTTGCCAGAGAAATTCGAAGCGTATTTAACTAAACTATATTTTATGATAAGTCAAATATTATCTTGAAATAATATAAGATTAGTTAGAAAATGCAATTAGTAAGTTCTTTATGTTCGTAAATCTAATATTCACAATAAGAGTCTTGATTCTGTTCTGTTTAATTGCCAACCGTTTTCATAACCGATTCTAACCGATACGTTTGCGATAAACTCGACAACCCTATTGCAAAATTTGTGCTCAATCTTTCGTTTTGCGGTTGAGACTGTTGCATTTGGTTTTCTGGTTTGGCGCACAACGAACGTTGTTTTTTGGGTTTTATTTCCAAACCCAACAACGAAAACTTGCTACTTCAGCTGGACTTCAGGTTCAACCGTTCTATACACCCCGCACTTTCTTCCTCGCACTTTGAAGTGAGTCTTTTCGGATTGAGTATACAAAAGATCTATTCATATGGGTACCAATACTTTTCTTGGGCTCTGCACACAAAACCATTACGTAATGCTTAATAAGTGTAGAAACGGGGAAAGAGACGAAAATTATGTAAAAAACTGTGGCATGTGCTCAATTTGCTGCAAGATCAATGCCAATTCTTGCGGGAATAAGTGATCGATATTAATTAAAAAAAAAAAAACAGTTGAAGGAGTATTTTAAAAAAATTGTTTTATTAAATTTTGTAAAGCGTGAAGCGTTCTTAAAAGGCAACTCTAAATATTTGCTTCATTGTGTCGATTCGGTTACATCATGACCCGCTAACCTCAACCTTGTCGTTGTCTCTTTCACAGCATCCTCGCTAGCCAACATGTTCAAATCTTTGTTCGAGGCCGCTCAGAACTCAACGTTCAAGTCGCCGTTCACCAGTGCTAACTGCCAGGCTGCCACGCCCTCACCTTCAGCCTACTCCTCGGCCAGCGATGGAGCCGCCCGTCAGCTGAGTCCCAATCACAATTTCGCCGCCGCAGCTGCCGTGCAGGGAGGTGAGTCGGAATTGAAGAGTATTGTATTGAATTGAAAATAAATGTTTGTCTATATTCTTTCAGATTCCTGTGAGTTTGGCTCCAATCATTACTTCTTGCTGTGTGGTCTGGGTGGTATTATCTCGTGCGGTACTACGCACACCATGGTGGTGCCTCTGGATTTGGTCAAGTGCCGTCTCCAGGTGGATCCGGCCAAGTACAAGAGTGTCGTTAACGGCTTTCGTGTCAGCTTGGCGGAGGAGGGCGTGCGGGGTCTGGCTAAGGGCTGGGCGCCCACTTTCATTGGCTACTCCATGCAGGGTCTGTGCAAATTCGGTCTATACGAGGTCTTCAAAGTTATATACTCCAATGCCATTGGCGAGGAGAACGCCTTCCTGTATAGAACTGGCCTCTATCTGGCCGCTTCTGCCTCGGCTGAGTTCTTTGCGGATATCGCGCTGGCGCCCATGGAAGCCGCTAAGGTCAAAATTCAGACTACGCCCGGATTTGCTAAGACGCTGCGCGAGGCGCTGCCTAAGATGACCGCACAGGAGGGCATTTCGGCCTTCTACAAGGGTCTGGTGCCACTCTGGATGCGACAGATTCCATACACCATGATGAAGTTCGCCTGCTTTGAGCGCACGCTGGAGCTGCTCTACAAGTATGTGGTGCCCAAGCCACGTGCGGATTGCACTAAGGGCGAGCAGCTGATTGTCACCTTTGCCGCCGGTTACATTGCTGGTGTCTTCTGTGCCATTGTCTCCCATCCCGCTGACACAGTCGTGTCCAAGCTGAACCAGGCCAAGGGCGCCAGCGCTCTCGATATTGCCAAACAGCTTGGCTGGGTTGGTAAGTGATCCATCAACCCATTTACTTACAATCCTTACAATCGGTTGACATTTTTCAATAGGACTGTGGGGCGGTCTGATGCCTAGGATTGTCATGATTGGCACACTCACTGCCGCTCAGTGGTTCATTTATGATGCAGTCAAGGTCTTCCTGCGCATGCCACGCCCACCACCACCAGAGATGCCCGAGTCGCTGAAGAAGAAGCTGGGCGTGACTGGGCAGCAGTAAGGGGCATATATAGAAGTTAACCGGTTTAAATATACATATATAGAGTGCAAACAGATATTGAACGATTAAATGCAAATTGTGTAGAAAACAAGATAAATAAAAACATACCAAACACTTAAAACTCGTGAGATGTGATCTCTTTTACTCCTGGAGTAAAAGTCGAATTGTTCAAATAAGAAATTTAAATTTCTCACCATGAAACTTTCAGTAAGCACTCAATAAAATGTTCACATTTCGTAAAAATACAATTTTAAAATCCATTTTGTCAACCTATTTCGTATGTAATGCGCGCGCAATGTATTCAAATATTTTATTTTTTTATGCATTGCTTTTCGCCCAGGGCTGCACAAAATTGATGCACTCTGGTCACCCTGGCAGTCGGCTGTAAATGGCGCGCGTTTGAATTAATCTTGGTGCATGCTATTGACTGAAAACGTTTCAATGCAGCGACTTCTAAACTATTTCGTCATCATAAACGATAAATCTTACTATTTGTCGTAAAGCCCGTCGAATTTTATTAAAAAATGGCTTGACTCAAAATAAACTACTTTTTAGCTAGATCCAGCACCAAAGCTTGGATCTTAACAATTTCATGAATATTTGCCAATTTGGATGCTGACTATATATATTATTATTATTATTCAGAATGGACATTTGTTAATTAACATATTTTTTTAAAAACTATTTCCTTAAAATTGTAATTTCTACGACAATTTGATGTACATTTGCAACCCTGCTTCATATATCTAACATATATGTATATATTTCGGTTAATCATTAATCAAAGGCTAGCACAAATAATTTATGATTTTGTTAAGTTAATTTAATGCAAAACAAGCGCATCGCATCACAATTCTTTTGTCGCCACCTGCTGTTAGATATATTTTATAAGACCCTGATCAGACACCTGAAGTACTTTGCTACTTAGCTTCACGAAGGTGTGCTTCCGTTAAAGAAGGTATTTATTTGCTGTCATCTATGTATGATAAATTAAAAGTAAGCAATTACCAACTAATTGTATATATATTCTACTTAGTGCAGCTTTGAACTTGACTATTTTGGGGGAACATTGTGTAAATGTTAACAGTTAGACGTAACTGACGTAACAAACCGTATTGGACATATTTGAATCTTTGCCAAATATGTGCTCATCCGATTTCAAGGTCAGCAAGCATGCGAATCGTTGTGCTTTATTTTTGATGGATTACGTGACTCTTGGAACCGAGATGCAACAGATGTGGCCTATGTGTGTCAAACGAGGGAGGGAGTTACGTGCAGGGCATGCCAATTATTTGCTGCATATGTTTAATAATTTTGATATAAAAGTGCGTGAGCCCAAAGACTTGTATTGCAGTTGGGCCTCAAAGCTTTGAACAAAATGCTGCTAAAGGTGAGTTGCATTTGCCGAAAGTCTCCCGAGAGAGAGAGAGAGCTAATACTTTTTATCATTCAAGGTAATACTACTTATCGCCACCATTGCTGGCAGCCATGCCGAGTCAACTGCGAGAGCTCCATATGCGCCGGCAGGCTGGCGTCCACGTGTGCCATTCAATTTGCCCAGCCAGAATCTGCCGCCAGTGGGCTCCAGCTTTGAGATCAGCAGAGAACGCGTTGAGCACGCTGGCGCCTTTAATGCAGCCCAGGCAAATTCCAATTACTTGCCACCAAATGCCGCAGTACCCAACCAAGGAGATATATTGGAGAGGGAGCGACAGGCGAATCAGCTGCCAAGTCCGGCAGCCCAATACGGAGCCCCAGTTGATGGCAGCTTTAGAATAGACTATCCTGATGAGGAAAACCCCGCACCGTCCACCGATTTGCAGTCCAGAATAGAGGAGGGCCGTTATTATATAGTTTCCTCCGATAACAAACTGCAACGTGTTCAATATCGGACTGTGAAGAATGCAGAGGATGCTGCTGGCGCTGGCTTCACGGCACAGCTGAGATACTCCTCGGTGGGTGAGTTGCAGGATCCGATTTATAAATATAATAGTCAGGGGCAATTGGAGCGCGTGCTCAAGTAAATATTCTCAGTTTTTGGCAACGATAAAGTGAACAGCTTTCACTTTTTGTCAAATTAATGTGCTATTAATAAAACTTGATGCTCTATTTTTTCATTACTTTGTTTTATACAAAAATGCTTCTTTATTCATTATCATTATCATTATACACAAAAAATCTCATATGTCTTCGTACACAATTTTCCATTTAAAGAGTTTGGCTCCAATGCATTTTGCATCGGAATTCATTAAAATTAAATACAATGCTTATGTATATGTATATGTATGTATGAATGCGTGTGATGGTCACAATATGTATGCATGTATGTGTGTGTGTGTCTGTGTGTGTGTGTGTGTGTGTGTGTGTGTCCGCAACTGTGTGGAACAACACAAAATGAAGGCGCTTAACAAAACAAACGGCATAATACAGGGAACACGAGGCATAGGCGGAACAGTGAAACAGTGGAACAGTGGAAAATGGAACGCGCCTGGCTATGGCAAAATGGCGGCGTTCCACTAAAATGGGACAGCGGTAGGGTGACAGTAGAGATGACAAGCCAGTGCATGTCAAACTGTGATCGCTGCACCGGCAGCAGATGCTATTAATACTCAGCTCGGTTGGCGATAGAAAAACAATATAAACAACAACACGATAGACAAGTCTAGTTAACGGGGTCGAAACACTAGAAGGTAACGCCTTACTGGCACTCTCCTTACTGATAGCCATTGAATTTGCCCTGCTGCGCATTGCTGTCGTAGCCGCCGCCGTTGCGTCCATTGCCATTGCCGTTGCCGTTGCCGTTGCCCACCTGCTCGTAACGAATGGTTGGACGGTAACCATTTTGATCGGCCTCGTATTCGACGATCTGCTTGCGTCCGTCGGGCAGCAGCACGTAGTAGCGACCGATGGCCAGGTCACCGTCACGCGATTCCATATGGCCAAAGTCGTTGCCGGACTCGTAATCCTGCACATCGTATTTGAACTCATACTTCGCCGGGCCGTACTGCTCCTCGTCGCGCTGACCATAGCCGCTGCCGCCGTTGCCGCCGCTGCCATAGCCGCCGGCACCGCCGCCATTCTGTCCCTTAAAGATCGCTCCGGTCAAGGCTGGTGCGCCATACTGGCTCTGGGGCAGGGGCGCGCCGTAGCTGTTGCTGGGCGCCGCGCCACCAGCCTGGCCGCCACGCTGGGGAGGCAAGTAGTTGTTGGCGGGCGACTGATAGCTCTGTGTGGGCGGCAGATAGTTGTTTGACGGCGCCTGCGGCGACTGATTGGGCGGCAGATACTGGTTCTGGGGCACTGGTGGCTCCGCTTGCGTCCAGGCGGCAAGGCAGACGAGCAGCGCGATCGTTGTAAAGCACTGCGAATGGAAATGGAAAATGGGATTGAAGCAATTGAACATTTGAGTAGGAGGCGGAGCAAGCTTGGAGATTGCAGTCAACCAAATTAAGTTGTTTATTATATTATCAGTTAGTTATTCGTATTAGTATTTGGAAACCGTTTTATTTGGTAACCATGACCGATTCGGATGAGGGCGCCTGGATACCCTGGTTCTGCAAGCAGCGCGGCAACGAGTTCTTCTGTGCAATAGACGAGGACTACATTCACGATAAGTTCAATCTAAATTTTCTCGACTCGAATGTGAGCAACTATCGACGCGCCCTGGAAGTTATACTGGATCTGGACACGGGCTCTGGCTCGGATGCGCCGCCCGAAATTGAGCTGGAGCAGTGCGCCGAGAAGCTATACGGGCTCATTCACGCACGATTCATATTGACGAATCGCGGCATTGAGCTCATGTTGGAGAAGTATCAGAAAAGCGCCTTTGGCATATGTCCGCGTGTTTTCTGTCAGCGCCAGCCAGTGTTGCCCATCGGCCTGAGCGATAATCCCGGCGAGGATATGGTGCGCATCTTTTGCCCCAAGTGCAACGATGTCTATGTGCCCAAATCGGCGCGGCATGCGGCCATAGATGGCGCCTTCTTTGGCACCGGCTTCCCCCACATGCTCTTCATGGTCAAGCCCGAAGTGCGTCCCAAACGCACCAAGCAGAGGTTTGTGCCAAGGTTTGTGCTACTGTTCAATTTCAATTAAACTGGCAAAAATAGCGCCTATTTATCGCTCCCTCCTAGATTATATGGGTTCAAGATTCATCAGATGGCGTATCGATCGGTCGATGCCAACATCAAGATGCCACAAGGTGATGTCGACAGCAACTAAGTGTTCCGTCTTACAAGCCACATCTTCGATCCCATGAACAAATTATATATATATATAGCATATATACCTGAACTACAGTTTATTGTCTACTGTTTCCATTTGTTTTTCTCGCCCTTTTCTAAGAATCTCATTAAAATATCATAATCATAATTAGCTATGCACTACTCCATTTGAGCAATTGCCCATGCACATTGTTAATAATAATAATAATTATGCTTTGTTTTGGCGTTTAGGCGTGTAATATGCAAATTTGTGGAAATTGGGTCGCCGATGGATGACACTGGCTGATCAGCTAAATGCCGAAGTGAAGGGCCCGCTCTCGGGTGACTTGGCATGTTAAGTATACGACCAGACGGACTGCTATAGCAGGCAGCTTAATGTCACATGCGACAAAACTAAAGACTTAGGCAACAAACGTGCGTTTTTGGCTTAAAAGAACTTGAAGATTGCTTTTCAGATTACTTAGCGCTTGGCTTCTTTTTCGCGCACAAATTGTGAAGGGCCAGCGCTCAGGTGAGCTGTCATGTTGAGTATAGGACCAGCCGGAGTGCTATAGCAGGCAGCTTAATGTGACATGCGACAAAACTAAAGACTTAGGCAACAAACGTGCATTTTTTGGCTTAAAAGGAACTAGAAGATTGCTTTCCGATTGCTTGGCGCTTGGCGCTTGGCGCACAAATTGTGCAACATTTTTCTTATCCAAATTATTTTTAGTGCGAGCGCAAGACCTTCACTGACTTTCATGCCTCATTGGCTTTTCAAATACTAGAAGCAGCAAAATATCTTATATTGTTTTGTTGCTTTTGCCAGTCGCTGTTTGTTTTTAATCGTCCCTTGCTCATCTCTGCTGCACTCCAAATTTGGGCATGGTCTCAGTACAAGTCTTTTAATTTATGCATTGCAACACGGACAAGCAACTGCGTTGCCACCAACAGCTACTAATACCTTTTCTATATACCCTAAGTGGCTGTTAAACTGTTTTACTAATTTATTTATAAGAGAGGCGCCCATCTACGCATACGATTTAAACAGAAGCCGCTTCAAGTTCGTGTCGAATTTCGTTTGCTGCAAAGCCATATTTATTCAAATGTGCTAAATTTATGCGAACGAGCTGTTAAATTATTAATTGATTAATTGTCATTTTGAACTTGACTCCTTTTTTGCATAGTTTTTTTTTGTAATTTTAAAATTCCTAAATAAATGTAACTATTGTATTTTAGCTAAGAATCCCAAAGTTTAACAGTAGCACAATTGAACTAAAATTGGAAGAATTGGAGAGCAGCCATAAGTAACATTCATTTTTACAAAGTCTAACGTTTGTTCCCTAAATCTGAGCACGTTCCTCGATCTGTTCGCACTCGTTGCTCCGTTGCAGTCCCTTTGGCAGGACCATTCACACCACTTTGCACTGATAGATAGTCCATATGCTTGGCATATTGGAAATGAATGTGGACGCGTTTTATTGTAATTTGTTCTATACCTTCATTTTGTGTAGTCACTTGCTTGGTTTTGGTACAAAACACACACGAAACTTTTTACTGCAAACTCGGCTCTGGTAGCTGAGATTTAACTGGGATTTGTGTTTGGTGTTCTTCTTGCGAAGATGGTTGACTTGATTGTGATACTGAAACAATTTCGTAGGCCAGTATTTATATTTGAAATGTGCAGCATTCGCTGTTGCTGCCGCAGTCGCTGTCGCAGTCGCAGTCGCAGTCGACGTCGCTAGCAGAAGCAACACAAAAAAATAGCGCGCCAAATTTTCGTATCTTTTTTTTTTTATGTTTTTCTCATTTCAATTTTTTGTTTAGAGTTTCAAAGAGCGCAAAGTAAGTAGCAATGCAAAGCAACACACAAAAAAACAAAAAAACATTACAAAATAATGCAAAGCAACATCAGCAACAACAATGGCAACAGCATCGAGTGCTCTCCGCGCTGCCTCGTGAGCAGATCCCACAGCAAAGCGGACGCTTTAGTGTTATAGTAAACTAGTTAGTTTTCAATTGAAGCGCCAAACACACATTTGACGACTTGGCTGAAGCGAAGATGAGCGCCGCACATTCAACTAAACGAGCAGCGCGGGAATAATACGCTCCTGGGCTGCATATGCTTGCCCAGGTCGCAAACCCAAGCCCATGCCCCTATGCCATAAACATTTGTGCTGCTGTTGTTGTTGTTGTTGTTGTTGTCATGTAATAGCAAAAACACTTATTTGTAATGGGATTAGTCATGCGGCTGTTCATCTGAGCGAGGGCCGCAGGTGAGCGGAACTGGAGCTGCCACCGGTTGACTGTGCTCCACGCATCTTCTGTGCTTCGGCTCTGGCCGAGTCAGTCGTGTGGCAGTCACCACAGCAGCAGCAGCAGCGGGAGTAGCAGCCGCAGTCGCAGTAGCGCGGCTGAAACGAAAGACTGAAGGCGCGAACTTGCGCTTACGTTTTACAAATGTGTTGCTAAAGACAAAAACAAAAAGGCTTATATTAAAAAAAAAATAATTATATTTTGTCTGTAACTTTTTTTTTGCTCTGCAATTTGACAAGAAATTAACTTATTTTAGTCGAGCTTTATGTGTGGGCGTGGGAACTGTTTGCGTTTTGTTGGCCTGTCAGCTACTTGAAAATTTTTAATGAGCTGCACTCCGCTGGGCTGGGAGAGATATGCAAAAATATGATCAGGTGACGAAATGGGATTAGGTTTGTTATGTGAATGTTAGAATGTTGCAAAAAATGTTGGCTTGGAGTCAACCAAAGCAAGTTGATCAAGATGCTAATAAACATGTTTATGGCTGGATTTTGATGTGAATCATATCGAGACTAATGCAATTTTTTGCCAGAAATGGTTTGAAATACAGCTCAAGAGATATATCGGCTTGCACACATTCCACATCTTGATTAGAATTATGATGTTAAGTAAAAGTATAATTGCTTAGACTATGCATAGGAGTTAGGTGTGGAAATGGCCGCTGAAGGTCATTTGTTTTTTATTTATTAGCCAATTTATGGCAAAATTTAAATTGCATAAAACAAAAATAATTAAAAAATAAATAAGAGGAAAAACAAAGAAACCTAACGAGCACTTCGGCAATTGTAACAAATTAAAAAAAAAAAAGACCATTGTACAGCAATATTATTGCCATATTTTTTCAGACAGTGGGCGTAACATTTATCACGATCTGCAAATACTTTAAATGCCGTTGAGTTGCAAATTGCGTTCGCTTTGATTATTTTGCCTTGCCATTGTTTAATGTGAATGCGTAAATATCATTATTGACATTTTACCAAAAATTTTGCTGCTGTTGTTGTCGGCACGAGCCGCCTGTCAGACTTTCACATTTTAATGTTAAGGTCCATTTTGATAGTAACGAGATAATAATAATGAGCTGTACAGCAGCGCGCCCTGTTTATGCGAAGCTGATTGTACGCTTCGACTGAGCTGCAGACCCAGATATGAAAATAACAATAACTATTTGCATTTTGGCAGAACTTTAACATGACGAATGCGTTTGAAGGAGACCAATAAAACAAATAATGACTGACCGGCTCAAGGCTCATTTGTTAAATGCTTAGAAAAGGCCAAAAGCCATCAAAATGTGCTATACGTGAATATATAAACCATCAATGCTGAACTGCAGAAATCGCTGAAATTGCAAGTAATAGCCCGGCCTTGTTAATGGCCAAAATCTGCCTAAAAAGCTTTAAACAAATTTTATAATTACAAAATTAACACGGCAAACATGCCAAAACTATAACATTAAAAAAAAAAACACAGCACAGAGCAATAAAATGCATATTAAGACGAATCCAAAAAACAAAACACAACAATTAAGCTCCAAACAAAATCGGATTCAATAGCAAATGCAAACATTTGTCTAATCATTTTCGAGCACATCAAAATATCATTTAATTTCCTGCATATTTCTTTAGAAAAAAAAAAAACAAATAACGCATTTTGCCGGCTAATTTACATTGAACGTGCCTGAAGCTGCCCTCCCCCCCGCCAACTCCGAGCTGAAGAGACATCCAAATTGTAATTTCTGTTTGTATTTAGAGAGGTCACCTTGAGATCAGGTGTGTGTGTCTGTGTGTGTGTGTGGCTTGTAGTGTTTGTTTTGTAACCTAGAACGCAGACGAGTGGAACGTATAATTTATATTAAACTACTATAATTTTGGATGCACTGCCCGCACGGCGAGCTTTAAATCAATTAAGGCATTTCCATGTAAATTGCGGCGCACTTCAATATGGATGATGATTATGATGATTCGTTGACAGCGGGAGGGCAGCGGTAACTATGTGTGTGTGTGGGGGAGGGGGGCAGTAAATGCGGCATTAGTCAAGGGCATTTTACAATTGGACAAGTCTAACCAAATAGAAGGCTGCAGCTATAATTCTAAGATCGACTCTAAGCTACCCTGTAACTAGTTTAAACTCTAACTGATATTAACATAATTTTCCTACGATTCTTACTACAGAGCTATACGATATAGTCAGCCGATGCTGATCAAGAATGTATATAGTTAATTTGGTAAAACATATGTTGAGCAAAATTCAATTAGCTACAAGGGTATAAAAAGAGTTCATACAACAGTTTTTCACACATTTGTTCGCTTGGTGGGCGGAAACTTTAAATATATAAAATTAAATATTATCTGCATATGGTATTAAAGACTTCTAATCCAAATTTAGATCTTTGAGATCCACGTGCTTATTTTTTTATTAAACAGATGAACTAATCGAATGACATGGTTGCTGATAATTGATATGAAAGATATTTTTGTGTGTAATTAAAGAGAAAAAAAACTGACTTTGGGTGAATAACTAATTTTAATTTTTGTGCTTACATAAATCTCTTTATGAATCATTCACGTCAAGAATTCTTTTTGTATTCCTTTCGGCAAAACTAATTTGTGCGGTTCACAGAGATAATTGTATTAAGATTGTTCTTTTAAACTTGTAAAAAAAAAAAACGTTTATTGTTAATTCTTTTTGAAGCAAGAAATAAAATGTATTTTTCTCATAACTCTTATGTGTAGTCGAGGCACAATTTGGCTTAAGCAACAGCAACATGAACGTGTACTTTGAAATCATGGCATAAAGCTGACTTTATGTTATATGGATGCTGTTTTTGAGAGTTTCGGCTGATGTGCGCATTCTGACGGCATTCTTCAGCCGCTCGAAGGTCGCTGCTGCCTTTTGGCAGAATCAGAGTAAAAGCTGCTCGACTTGAGAGCCTGGACCTATGGCATTTGAAGCCGCATCGAGCCGTCAGCCAAATCATAAATGCACTCCATAAAGTAATTACATGTACTCTGGCAGAATGCAACTGCGAAATTAGTTGGCTGGCAAAGTGCTCGGCATCGATAATTAAAATGTGTACATCAATTCAAATTGAAAGCCAGAACAGTTTTGGTTAAGTCGACTATTTGGGTAGCGCATCCGTCAGTTGTCGGCGATGATTGATGTGCCACTTAAAAAAAACAGAAAAAAACACACACACACAGTTTGAAAGCCATTGGTGTGACAATGCACTGCAATTTGCGGGCGCTGCAAGCGTCCTAGATTTATTTATGGCCCAGCTACTCATAAAAATAGTTCCCACTCGAAAAAAAAAAAACAACAACAAAAATGTCAATGAGGGGCGCTCCGGCAAGAAGTGCCAGCCAAGGCAATGTAAGGCAGTCAGGTTGGCTAAATTGAAATGATTATGTTTTGGGCTGCCTTTTGTTGCAGTCTGATGCCGATGTTGCAAGAGCAGAGGCCGAGGAAGCCGCAACATTAGAAGGTGCTGCGTGTTGCGTCGGTTAAGCCTAATTGAATTTCGCCTTTGGGCCGGCAATTTGTTAGGCTGCAGTTCAATGAATGGTCCATTGTCTCGGCCAGGCTGGCAAGTTCTTTCGAGTAACCGCAGTTGCATGGTCTGCCCCAACGAATCCGCACCGAGACTGGCTAATCCGCTTGCCCAAACACGTACTCAGACGCTCATGTGTTTGCGCTCGCAACTTGAAGCCACTTGTGAGAATAACTTGAACTCCAAGCCGGAGCTTTGTACACATCCTACTTGTCACACACATACACAAACACACACACACACGCACAACAGCCAGAGCTCGAGTTTTTGATTGGCATTTAACGGCCTACCCACATCCATATCGAAGATTCCAAAACAAATCAACATATGCTCATGCACAAGCACAGATGTATAAATAATTATTACGATACTTGCGTCAGTCATTAATATATTGATAAACACTTTGCTCTGCGCTCTGCGCACTGGCTCTGGCTCTGGCATCAACCACTTCCGCCTTGACGACGCCAGACAAAAGATCTGCCAATCCGAATACGAGCACTCGCCTCATTCTTCAGCTCCAACCTTTCAATGTAGTTACTTAAGAAAAGGTTACGATGCTAACCATAACCACAACGGCCTCATCCTTAACAAATTGACATTGAAAACGACAGCGAACAAGTCAACAAGAAGTCATAGGCCACACATTTTTTCGTTATCTACTTCAATTGAACTTCATATCCCATGCACTGTGGTATACGATTATATATTCCAAATGAAAATGATAAGTATAATATAAGAGGTAAGAAGTGCGAAAGACTTTATCGG